CCTATCCTTGAACACCCACACCGATGGGGCCTCAACGACCTCTCGTGCAAGCCCATTCCATGCCGTCGGGGTCCTGACTGTCAGGAAGTGCTTCCTGGCATCCAAACGAAACCTTGGCTCCCTGAGCTTTGCTCCGTTGGAGCGCGTTCTGCCTTCCTCTGCAGGGGAGAACAGGTCTCTACCCATCTCCATGTGACATCCCCTCACATACCTGTATGTCGCCAACAGATCCCTCTGAGTCTCCTCTTCTCCAGGCTGAAGAGACCCAGTTCCCTCAGTCTCGCCTCATACCCCATCCTCTGCAATCCAGCCACCAACCTTGTGGCCCTACGCTGCACTGACTCTAACCTGGCTATATCCTTTCTGTAATGAGGGGCCCAAAACTGAGCACAATACTCCAGGTGTGGGTGCACCAGAGTCGTGTAGAGTGGTAGTAATACCTCTCTTGATCTAGAAACCACACTTCTGGCTATGCAACCAAGGGTGGCGTTCGCCCTCTTGACCACCGCATCACACTGCTGACTCATGTTTAGCCTGCAGTCAACCAGTACCCCGAGGTCCCTTTCACAAGTGCTGCTCTCCAGCCACTTGTCACCTAACCTGTACTTATGACAGCTATTCCTATGCCCCAAGTGCAAGACCTTGCACTTATCCACATTGAATGCCATCCTGTTGTCTCCTGCCCACTTCCATAGTCTGTCCAGATCCTTTTGAATCTGGGGTACCTCCTCCTCAGTTGTGGCCACTGCCCCAGTTTTAGTGTCGTCTGCGAATTTGATCAGCAGACTGTTCACCCCTTCTTCCATGTCACTGATGAAAAGATTAAACAGGATCGGCCCCAGGACAGAGCCCTGGGGGACCCCACTTGTCACTGGCCGCCATCCCGATGATTCCCCACTAATGGTTACCTTCTGCTTTTGATCAGTCAACCTTGCCCTAATCCACCGGACAGTACTTTGGTGTATACCAAAACTCCTCCGTTTCTCCACCAGGATATCATGGGGCACTTTGTCAAAGGCCTTGCTGAAATCCAGATATACCACATCCACTGCATCCCCTCCATCTAGCCATCTCGAAACCTTGTCATAGAATTCCACAGCAGTGGGGAGGAGCTCTTTCCTCCAGCTTCGGCTGATCCACCAGCTGCGCCCCTATCTGGAGTACAACTGCCTCGCGACAGTGACACATGCATTGGTGACTTCCCATCTCGACTTCTGTAACGCGTTCTACGTGAGGCTACCCTTGAAGATGGTCTGGATACTTCAATTGGTTCAAAATAGAGCTGCCAGACTGCTGACGGGGACTGGGCGTTGTGTTCACATGACTCCAGTTCTCCATCAGCTTCACTGGCTTCCCATTGAAGTCTGGGCCCAATTCAAGGTGTTGGTGATGACCTATAAAGCCCTAAACGGCTTGGGTCCTGGTTACCTGAAGGAGCGCTTGCATCCATATATGCCCAGCCGCCCCTTGAGATCAGCAGGGGAGGCCCTTCTCCGGGAACCCTCCGTGAAAGAAATTAGGGTGGGTACTCGGAGGAGGGCTTTCTCTGCGGTGGCGCCTAAGTTATGGAACGCGCTCCCCAGAGAGGTCCACCTGGCGCCGTCGTTATTTGTTTTTCGGCGCCAGGCGAAGACCTTTTTATTCAAGCGGCATTTTAACTGTTAATATTATCGGATTTTATCTGGCCAGGGCGGCTTATTTTATATTGTATTGTTGTATTTTTAATTTAATATTTATATTTTTAATTTATATTATAATTATTTTAACTTAGTGATGTAAGCCGCCCCGAGGCTTCGGCATAAAAATGTTTTAATAAATAAATAAATAATAAATAAGGTTTGTCTGGCAGGACCTGTTTTTGTGGAAGCCATGTTGTGTGGCTGTCAGCCTCCCTTCCCTATCCAGCATCACTAGATCTCTCTCTATTGAGAGCCTTTCCATTGTTTTTCCTACAGTGGACGTAAGGCTAACAGGTCTGTAATTCCCCATGTCCTTTCTACTACCCTTTTTGAAAATTGGGACCACTGATGCCACCCTCCAGTCCTCTGGAACTTCACCCGTTCTCCACAAGGTCTCAAAAATGGAGGCCAGCGGGCGTGAGAGAACCCCTGCCAACTCTCTAAGTACTCTCGGGTGTAACCCGTCAGGGCCTGGCACCTTCGTAATGTCTAATGCCCTGAGGAGCCCTTCAACTTCAAGGGCGGTGACTCTAATCTGTGCCCCTAAGTCCCCAGCCTCATCTGATCTCCCATGTGGATATCCCCCGCCCAGCTTTGGGGAGAACACAGAGGCAAAATAATCATTTAGCATCTGTGCCTGTTCCCTCATATCAGTCACTGGATCTCCTTCCTCCTTATTTAGTGGTCCCACCACTTATCTCCCCTTCCTCTTCCTATTTATATGCTGAAAGAAGCCCTTTTTGTTGCTCTTGATATTCTTGGCAAGTCTCAGCTCGTAATCAGCATTAGCCAGTGCAGACACGTTTCTGGGGGGGCCTGAACCTCCCCCCCAAGCTCAGTTTAAAGTCTTCTGGACGAAGCTCACTAGAGCATCTCCAAAGGACCTTTTCCCCATCCTCGTGAGGTGTAACCCGTCCCTTGCCAGAAGTCCATTGGCAAGAAACCAAGTGCTGTGATCGAGGAACCCGAAGCGTTCCTTCTGGCACCACACCCTAAGCCAGGCATTCACCTCGAAGGCCCTCCTGTCCCTTCCTGGCCCAAATCCCCGGACAGGTAAGATTGACGAGAAGGCCACCTGGGCCTTCAGCTCCCTGAGTTTCTTCCCCAAGGCCTCAAAGTACCTGGTGGTCCCAACCACACCCTGCCTGGCCACGTTGTTTGTGCCCACATGGATCACCAGGAGCGGCTGGTGACCCCCGGAGCGAACAAGACGCTCCACTCTGTCCTTCACATGCAGGATGTGTGCGCCCGGCAGGCAGCAAACCTCCCTTGTCTCCAGGTTGGGGCGGCACACCACCGCCTCAGTGCCCCTCAGCAGGGAGTCCCCAACAACAATCACCCGCCACTGTGTCTTCTCGGTGCTGGTGGGCGGCCGTGCCCTGGCCCTCGCCTCTCCTGCAGCAGCCCCCTTGCCACTTGTCGTCCCAGGCTGGGGGTCCTGCTGGTCCCCCAAGGCCTCATCAGCCCCAGCCTCCCTAAGTGGAGAGAACCTGTTTCCCAGCTCCAGACTGGTGCCAGGAAAAGGAGGAGGCTGTGCTGGCTTCTTCCTCCTGTGGGTGACATGCCTCCATGTCTCCGCAGCTGCTTCTCCCATGGCTCCTCCCTCAACCCTCTGACCATGGTCTGTTTGAACTTTAGAAACCATGATAAGAAACTATGGTTTGTTTGTTCTTTGATTTCTCTGTAGCATCATGACTTATTGTGTAGTTGTGATCATGGTTTCTAGAGTCCTCTGGAAAGAGGGGCAACTGAGAGCCAGTGTGTGGTGTACTGGTTAAGAGAGTGGGTCTGGAACTCAGGAGATCTAGGATCTAGTCACCACTCAGCCATGAGGATGATGGGGTGACTTGGGGCCAGTCACAGCCTTGAAGTCCAACCTACCTCACAGGATGGTTGTTGTGAAGATAAGATTTGGAGTGGGAGGAGGCAAATGGTGTAAGCTGCCTTGAGTTCCTGGAAAAAGAAAAAAGCAAGATATAAATACAATAAACAAACAAACTGCAAGGGCCTCTCCAGCCTCTGTGTGTGGACCAGTGGAGAAGAGAGGGGCAACATAAGCAGGGAGTGATGCACCTTGTGACTGAATTTCAGGAGCTGTCAGTGGGAGGACTGAGCAAAGTAGATGGAAACTGAGATTAAGTAGAAGCCACTTGTGTGTGGGGATAAGATTGAGAGCAGCAGGAGGAGAATGAAGCGAGCTGCTTTGACTTCTTTAAAAAAAAAAGAAAAAGGCAGGATACAACTCTGATAAATAAATCTATGTTTGCATGCATACTTATGTCAGGTAGATCATGGTAAAAAAGTGTGAAGCATGGTAACCACGCACCATGCCTGCATGGTGGGAACTCAGCCTGGCTGTGTGCCATCACAACTGTCACATCCAGAGTAGCCCCCTGAAGGCCAAACCCTGGCCACTGTGAATTTTGAGGCCCTGTCACAGAGTCAGTCAGAGAGAGGAGGAGGAGACCATCAGCAAATCCCCAGAAAAGCAGAAGCTACTCTCTGTTTTCCCACTGTCTCTCGCATCTCTCATTACTCCCCGAACATTGGGTTGTCCTTCCACTGTTCTCTCTCTAAACTGGAGTGGAGCCAATCTCCTTTCAAGAGAACATGTGCTGAGCATGCCATGGCTGCAGCCCTGGGTGGGCAGCAGACCTTTCCTCAGTGCTCCTCTTGGTATAATCTTGCGGGATTCTTCAAACATTCTCAGAAGAAACATGTTAGAAAAGGTATTCATTATCCTGGCTCAAATGCATGAGTGTTGCATCCATCCACATGAGTGGTTGTGTCATTCCTGGCTCCAAAGACAGCAGAACAGCCCAGAATAGTACAGAGAAAGCCTGGGTGACTGTTGTAAGGCATCTTGTGCTCTTGAGAAGGAGAGATTATTCGGAGCAAGTTTTGTGTTGGGGCTGGGGAGTGAGCTGTACATCCCTGGTTTGAATTTCACATCTGCCATGGACCCCCAAGGAGAGTTTGGACAAGCCATTCTCCCCTCAGCCCCCCTTCCACTTCTGCAGTATGGTAATCGTAACACTGATGTACTTTACCTGGTCGTTGTAAGGATTTATGCAATGTGCCATGAATACTTAAAATCACTGTACAGCCACTAAAGACCAAGTGTTGTTATATGCTAATGGTGTCATGTCATGTCATGTCACATCATAATCGGTGACATTTTTGTAGTCACACAGAATGATGCTTGCAGTTGAATTGAGCACACATCTTTCAAATGTTACCTTTGTTCATGTTGGTGCTTCTCATAGCTGATGTCCTTCCTTATCTTTCAGCAATGGATTGATGGGCTCAGATCAATCATACGTAATTTTAGAGCAAACAATGTCTGTCCTATGACATGCCTCAAGAAACAGTAAGTTTTCTTCTCTCACCTCTTCAGTTCTTATTTTGTTTCTGGCTGCCTTTCGTGCTTGTTCAAAAATTTTCCTTTCCTTACTTGGTCCAGTCAGTGATAAGTATCTGGGCAGTCTTCAGGAGACATTCCCCACAAATTCAAACATCCATGAGAAATGTGGTGTTAATTTATTCTTCATATTATTTTCCACAAATAAAAATGTTCCCAAAGTCAAATATATGCCAAGAAGTTAAGACAGTTCACTGCTGGGCATTGGAATCTATTGAGAGATGCAGCTGCAGTCCTTGGCCATGTCTGAACTTTCCTGGTTCAGGAGGGAGAACGTTTGCCAAAGTTATGCACCAAAGTTCTTGTGAACTCATTCTTTTGTTCCCGGGTTTTCATGGAGAATGTTCTGAAACCTGGCAACGACGTGGATTCTTTGCCTGCCCTCCATTGTCCCTAGACTCCCCAGAAGTGTGTTCCTCTGCTGCTTACCTTGTAAAATCCTCCAGCACCATCTTAGCTTGTGTGGCTTTCATTTTCAGTGGACTTCAGCATTTCCTTGAAAGTGTAAACTTTGCTGCTGTCTGGGGACCCCAGCATGAAGAGAGCAACTGACATTCCCTTCTTTCATTCGTAATGGTTGGAGCATTGAAGGGAATAGAACATGAGGCTAAAGGTGGCCAGATTGAAACAATAGTGGTTTGCATTGTTCAGCGTTTGCCTTTTGCCAGCTGCAGGGTGCACTGACTTTGGCTTTTCATAGCTGAATTAAACATCATATTTCCAACTTACCAAAGTACTTATTTTCTCCTCTTGCCCTCCCTTTGCATAAGTCCTGCTAAGGTTTGTGCATTTTCACAGTTTGGAATGCTATCAGCAAGTTAGATGTCCAAGGAACTCAAGGCATGGCTTCATTGTTTGAGAAAGGTGGAGTTGACTTGGAGCTGAGCTGAAACAGTCTTTTCAGTTTCATTATTTTTAAAAATAATGTGCTTGTGCTTCCAATTGCTAGATACTTTCTGACCAAGAATACGGGCATTCACTGAGTAAGATGAGCTTAAATTTAGGTAGAACTCTGTGAGCCCTCTCTCCAATCCTTAGCAGGAGACAAGGGTAGGGGCAGGACAGTTGTCTCATGAAACACAATCAAAATACTTTAACATTTGGCTTGGCTCTATTAATCCCTATAAAATCCACCCCTGGTTTTGAAGGGCATTTCCTGGATCTCACTCTGGGGAAAGTCAGGGTCTCCCATTTTTAACAAGAAAGGAAGAAGGGTGAGGCATTTTTGTGCTTATTTTCATCCTTCACTTTATCATATGAACCAGCCTTTACTATATACCATCTATGAAATATGTTCTAATTGGTTTTCCCCCTAACTTCTAGCTGGATGAAGCTGGCATTTCTGACTAACACTAATGGCAAGATTCCAGTTCGAAGGTGAGTGTGATGCAGAGGCGTTACGTGACATGCAGAGCAATTGTACTGCTGTTTTCTTTCTTTTCTAATATATGCAAGTCAGAGTCCATCTCGAGTCTTACAGCTAAGTGGTCTTTGATTTTTATAGCTTAAGACAGTCTGGGCAGCTGAATAGATTAATAAATAAAATGGCACTTCATTGTAGCTGCAAAGCTCTACAAGAGTCCAACAGGATTGTTGGTTTGTTTTACAATATTGAGGGGCAGTAGGGGCTGCATGGGTTCCACGGGATACATTTTGTCTACCCTTGACCTGAGATATATGAGCTTCTGTGTAGCATGAAGTGTCTGATCCTGCCTTGTCTTGGAAGCTAAGCAGGGTCAGGCCTGGTTGGAATCTGGATGGGTGACATAACTGTGAACTGCCCAGACAGCTCCAGTATAGAAAAGTAATGATAGACTTGTGCTACAGCAGTTCTGTCACTGACCTCCAGATTTCCCACTCTGGTTGCCATTTTCTCCTCGCAAACTGCAGTGGTAAAATTCTCACAATTCTTGTGAGAATAAGGTGAGATTAAGCTATCTCAAATTTTATCAAGGTCATACATTAAAACTTTGACATAAATGTTGCAAACTTCTGATGGTATTCATTATTCCCAGCCTATTTGTGTTTTTGCTGGAATTAGGGAATTAAGGCTATGTTAACTTTAACTTCATAAGTCCTTTTATTTTAGGGCTACGGACGAGAAGCTGCTGCCATTGTGGCTCCAAAGAAGTTTGTGTTGAAATGTTTGTTCATGCCAGTTTTTTTAAATGTATTTTGCTATCAGTCTAAAATTACAAAACAAAAAATAATCCAATAATTCCAGAGCCTGGAGCAATTAATGAATACAAGCAGCAATAACTATAACATCTTTGTGTGCGAATTGTTGATAATCCCTATTCCCTTTGTGATGTCAGGGTTTCACTGTGTAATCCATATTTTCTGAATAACCCACTCTAAAATCACTCTAGGATTGGGAAAGCGGTCCCACATGGGGCAGCGAGGGTGGGTGGGTGGGGTAGCATCAAAGCAGCAGAAGGAGGACCTGGAAGTAGCAAATGACTCAGAAAAAAATTTAAAATTGGGAGGAACATTTCAAAATGAATTCAAGATTTAAAAGTCCAAATCTGTTTTACCCAGCCCTAATGTTTAAAAAAGAAGCCATCTCTGGGAGGGGACCCATATACATTTTGCTGTGCTCCTCCCCTCCCCTCCCCTCCCCTCCCCTCTCCTCCCCTCACCTCACTTTGCTAGTTTTCTTCATAACTTTTGAAGATTTGCTGAAGGCTAAGAGGCAAGAATCACTCCAAAAATAACAAACAAGGAATTCCATCCTGAACTAATGCATGGTGCCTCACTCCCTCTACATTTAGAGCGCTCCTTAAATGTCAGATTTCCTATGAAGTGCTTGACTTAATGTCTTTATCTTTATTTCAACTGAGACTACATATTAAGTACACATGGCTACAGTTTGCTCACTGAAGTCTCTCCTTCTTTTCTTCTGTTGTCTTCTTCACTGTAAACATTTATAAAGTTTACAGTGAAGTTATGTGAATGCAGGAGATATCTCTTCCTTACTTGTGAAAACAACATGCCTTGTGACACCTTAAGGACTAACAAATATATTGTAGCCAAAGCTTTTTTTGGGCTACTAAGCAATCCACTGAGCTGTGCCCAGTTGCTCCAGGAATTTTTGTGCTTCATCAAGGTAAAAGGGAGCCTGGGTCCCCTTTTCTCCTTCTAGGACCTAGAATCTAGGTGATCCCAGAGACAGAAGGGATATTGGGCATTATTGCATTCTTGTGGCAAATAATATATGCAGGTCAATGAAGCAGCACGCATAGGCATTCTTATTAGTAAAGGAAATTTGCAGCATGGTACTGTGTTGGGTACCCTAATGGCAGACAGAAAGGGCCAGAGTGGGTCTTCAGAGGTGGGAGAATCCATTGGATATATAGGGAAGTCTTGAGTTTGGAGACAAGATACAGATCAGGCATGGTTTGTCACATGCACACAAGCACTGGAGGGGGTAGGAGGTGTCCATGAGCCTCATGACAACAGTTGCCCCAGGGACTGAAGAAGCCTGACTCCCCATCCCTCTGAAGTGGCCACTAGAAGTGGGAGAACTGGGTATGGTATCTAGCCCACAATTCAGCACAATCCCTCCTCTCCCCAGACATTCAGCAGACAGAGGAAAACTGAATTGTCCATTCCACATCTAAGGAACATCAAAGGGTGGGAGATGGCATCCCTCTCAGCAATGGGCCCATTTATACGTGGGCCTCCCTTGCCCTCAAGGTCACCTTGGAGGGTGTGGAGCAGGGAAAAGCACTGGGCTCAGGGAGAGGCTGAATGGAGCTTTTCTGTGGTAGTAACACTCTATATTTGCACTGTGTTGGCAGCCGTATGGACTGGGCAGAGGGCTTGCAAAGAGGATATAAAGAAACGCTGCTGATGTTGTAGTGAAGCAGCTGCAGAGCTCTTCCTCAAGTTTGGCCAGAAGAGCTCAGGGACTGCAGAGCTCCTGTGGTCTCAAAGCTGAGCAGCATCACTTCAAGGACTTCCATTTTGCCTGGAGCCTTAGCAGCTCGTAACCTTTAGGGAACTTTGGCAAAACTCTCCCTGAGCTGTAATTAATGTCCAGGCCTTGGTCAAAAATGGATGAAGTCAAAAGTGTGCCCCCCAAAATGACAGTGCCTTGGACAATAGCACAAGTGAACCAGTACTCAGTATTATTTTGACCCTTGTTACTGATGCCTAGATAATTGGCATGCTAATACCCAGATAATTTAAATCTCTATGTGATATTGTGGAATAAAGACTAGAAATAGGGCCATCGTGTTCACTAAAAAGCACAGTGTGCATGGAGCAAGTTGAAAACGAACCTAATGGTGAAGCATTTACAGACTGTAATAGCAATGACTGCACAGGCAGCAGTGAGGCAATCGCCTGCAAACTGGAGTTACATTCACAAAGCAACAGCAGAGGAACCCACGACCAGCCACCTCCCTATTCCCCTCGTGAATGATGTCTGGCGTAGCAAAGGTGATGGATCACCTAATACTTTTTGAGTAACCCACTTATCTCTTTTCTCTAGCATCACCCGAACTTTTGCATCAGGTAAAACGGAAAAGGTGATCTTTCAGGCACTTAAGGAATTGGGTCTTCCCAGTGGAAAGGTATTTACATTCAATTTCAGAATGGATTAAAATGGAGCATTGGTTTGGCTCCTTATTCATGTCAAGTTTCTTTAGTCAAAATGTGAAGAAAATGTTGAAGAGAAGTTCAGTCAAGTTTTCTTTTCTTCTGCTTTCAGAATGATGAAATAGAACCTCCAGCATTTACTTATGAGAAATTCTATGAACTCACCCAGAAGATCTGTCCTCGTACTGATATAGAGGATCTTTTTAGGAAAATGTAAGTCAATTGTATGTAAAATGAATTGTGTTCCATTTTAATATGATGACTGTGACTCTAATTAAGATTTGATGCCATATAGTAATATCAGTCAGATTTTAGACTTCTCTAAAGGTTCAGACAGTGATTTTTTTCTGCACTCCCAAGGACTTCTAAGTTAGGGGAAACACTTGGAACTGTTTCTGAGTTGGCTTTACTAACCTACAATATTAACCTGCTATTTTAAGGTTATTAACATGATATGTTAACTAACTAGGTTAAGAAAGTCTTAATGTCTGAAATTTCATACACTAAGATTTTGAAGTGGAAGACTTACATGTTGGTCTGTTAATCACTTTGATCTGTTTAAATAATGGGAGGTGGGGAGAAAAGCTGCTGCTTGTTAGCATTAGTCTTACCTATTACGGTAGAGGGGCTGTATTGAAAATCCACGGCTTAGATGGGTGGTAGAATATTAGATGGATGTTCGGAAGATGAAAAATGTCAACATGTAAATCATACCTGCTGTGGCACTTACATGAAAACTTACTTTCTCTAATAAATTTCTTTTCAGCAATGGAGACAAAACTGATTATTTAACGGTAGACCAATTAGTGAGCTTTCTAAATGAAGTAAGCTTTTTCATACATTAACTACCATACAAGTCTGTCTGCAGTGGCTTGCTTTCTCTGATCTTCTCATTGCATGCTCCATGCCACCATTTCTGTGCTCTGGATCAGCTGATCTTTCCATTTTGGCAATATCCAGGTGCAAAAATCAGCTCCAACTTGATGCATTCCCCTGCTTTCTTCATGTCGGCTTCGCAAATTGCTTGCATCAATTCCTTTCTGTAGTTGTGTAGCTGTTGTTTATGTTATTAGTTGTTTTTTTATTATGTCTCATGTGGTTTTAATTAAAGTAATCTGATATACTTTTATTTTAGGAACAAAATGTTTATGGTGGAGTCCTTCTAAAGATGAGGGGGTGGTAGAAGGGAAATTGAAAATTGGGCTTCTGTGTACACTAATCAGCGTTTATAGTTTCCAAGAGCTATTTCAAAAATTTATGTGTCATTTTTCCACAAATAGTGACTGATGCATCATACAAAAGTATTGTATTGGCATGTTCTTTTTAAAGATGCCTTCTTATTAGCAAAGCAAGTGGATGGCCATGCAATATTTACTGAATTAAGTATGTGGGGGATGCTTCTTTGGAAGATTCTTTTATTCCTAGATGTTTTAAGGTTGAACACACATGATATTTGTATGACTTGTTTGAAGTTTAGCACAACATTAATTTATCGGTATCTAGATACCTCTATATAGGCAGGTTGTTTCATTTCTGTTACACTGCGATTTTCTGTCTTGCTTAGAAGACCAAATGTTTTGTTTTGTTTTGTTTTGTTTTGTTTTGTTTGAGGAGATAGGACAGGTAGTTTGTCACGTTGTGTCTTGCCCTCCATCTATGATGACTGCTTTCTGCAGGCCTGAAATGCCTTCCACAGTTCTCTCTGGTCTTGTTTGGGCTGCCTCTGTTCTCCCTACAGCTGCTAGAATCTCTGTCATAGCCTCTCCAGTGCACTGGAGACACAAGTTTGAGTTAATCCTCATGGCAATGTCTGAGATTGTTCTAGGATGGGGCCATCTCAGAGAAAGCAAATCGGGTGCTCTTTCAGCCCATCTTCATCTCTGCCATCCTTTCCTCTCATGAGGGAAGGAGATATCAGTTCCTGTGCAACTCAATGGAGAAGAGCTCAGGAGTGTGATGAGGATGTGGTATATGGCTAGAGGGTTTCAGTAGGGGAGCAAATGCAGAGAAGCAAGGAGAAGAGGCAGGATGGCAGAAAGGACCCTTCTTTCCCCTAGTCCTCTGCTTAGGAGATTTTGTATGCCTTGTTCTGGTGCAAATTCACTAAACTCAACGGAAGTCTCTGTATCAAATCTTTATGCATGATTCCTTATTCTTGGTATGTTCCGCTGTGTCTCATGTAGCAGGAGAGCAGGAAAGGAAAAGTTCTTTGTACAGGGCTGGGTTCTTAGCTCTGTGATAAAACCCCAAGTAGATACGGCAATTAGCAGCCTTATGTTTCCTATTGCATGAATGGAGCAAAGAAGCCATCCCCCTTATTCCCAGATTAGTGTCTGGGGCTCATTTGCTCCTGAAGAGAGGCAACCCCGTGGGAGATAATGTGAGTTTGGGCTGCAGGTCACAACCCCAGTGATGGAAAGGTCATCATGCTAAGACGGGCTTCCTGAATATGAGGCTGCCTTACGGATGCTGCCCGTGTGCTTGTATACGCAATGGCCAAGTTACCCAGGCAGATTAATCTGCAGTTGCTCATTAACTGTAGCAATTGCTTGTAGTGCTGGCCTTTGCCATACGCATTTCCACTGGAGTGGATTGCCATTTCATTTTCAAATGAATTTGTATAGGCTTATCAACACCAATAAAGTTCTGTTAGCTGGGATATTACAGGACTTTCTTCTGTCTAGACATGCACAAAATTGTGCTCTTAAGGCGATGAAGCCCCAACATCTAGCTTGTTCCTTTGGCACTGCAGGTAATTGGGTGAGGTGTGAGTCTGGATAGGATCAACCATCCTCTATCTTGATGCTGTATTTTGCACAGGCACATGAAGAGTGTTGCAGGACCCACCAGCAAGGCAGAAATACGGAACATCTGAAACAGAGAATGCCTGAGGCTAAACTGGGATGGTTAAATAGAACATCCAGGTTTAGGCGCAGTGTATCAGTTGCTTGGGGAGACTGTTGACCTCATGCCCTGTTTGTGGACTTCCTGAAAGCGTCCGTTTGGCTGCTGTTGGGCACAAGATTCTGGACCATATGCAACTGACTGATGCATTTTATCTGATTAGGGGTGTTGGAGAAAACTGCAGTGGAATGCCTGTGAATGCAGCCTATGGATTCTGTGGCAGACTGGCTTTTCCTGTGTTGCATGGATTCTTGTAGCCTTGCACTCTAGTTATTTTTAAAACATTCCATAATGTTATGCAAATGTAATCATAGAAAAATATGTAAAATGAAAAAAAAATCTCAACTGAAAATGTACATTCCCCCTACACCAAAGCATGAAAATGCACGTTCTAAGATGGACTTGCACATTTGTGGAATTTGTGCCAGCGTGTCCCAGTGCATCTGCATGCAATTTTATTTTCTCAACGAGCAAATGATGGATTGAAAAGTGTGTGACAATAGAATCAACTTCATGAAGTCAGTTCATCCCTAGCTCTGATCCAGCAAGGCTAGTTGAAGGCAGCCATAGATTGGACAGGGAAAGAAAGTGGAAAAGCTAGAAACACAGGGTGACCAGAACAAAATTAGAAATCTCTGCACTCTGGCAGGACAGTGAAACGTCTTGTCTGTAGTGTTCAGGATCCCACCCCCATCTAATGCTTAGGTATAGTTTAAGGAAGGGGTTGTAGCAGGCTTGAATTCTGGGTTTGGTGATTTTGAGTGTCATATCAAATGAGTGATACAAAGCCCTCTGCTGCTTTAGATGGACACTGTGAAATTGTCACGGGGACATGGAGTTGCATGCTCTGACTCTGTTTTTCAGGGATGCTTCTGAGCAAGGTAGCACCCTGTTTAGGCAGAAAAAATTCCTATCAGCCCCAGCCAGCCAGTCGCAGAACTTTTTTTCTGTCTTAATATGCATAATACGGCACCTGGAATTAAATTTGCATACCAGTGATGTCAACTGTTCTTGGTACAGATGAAGTGGCAATGCTTTCTCAGTCCCATGTTGTTATAGCTTGTGTGCGTTTGTTTGGGTGGGGGTTAATGCTAACAAGTACAGTAGACAAGATAATATTTTAATTACAGAGAGAGCTCATTTACTTTCCATTTCATTGAATATTGCTTTAATGCTGAATAGAATGCCGAAATATTTAAGAAATTACAAGAACTGGAGCCTTTTCAATAAGACTGGCCCCATGGTTGATCCACAATATGTGGTGACCTGCATCCCATCTTTGACGCTCCTATGCAGGTGCAATCCTAGAGCCCACCAGCATTGCCTAGGGGGCATCAAAGTATTTGGAGCTGGTACTCCACAAGCCACAATCCTGGCTCACCCCCTTCAAACCTGCCATGGAAAGAACCAAACTGATTGACTCTCAGGTTGGTTGGAAAGTGGCATCAGAGAGGAGGAAATGAGTGTGCCAGAGTGGAGATCAGAGGAGGCTCAGGCCAATGGCTTATGGGATATCAAAATGGCTCTCCAGCCTGCTTCACTCCCACTCCACCAAGATGGCCATCAGGTTGGAATGCAGGGCTCAAGGGATGGGGTGGTGGGAATCTTGCACATTGTATGCACCTAAGCATCCAAGGAGACTTGTATGCGTCACATGGGGAGGGCAATTCATCGTGCCCTAAGTGAAGCCCACACTTCACAGGCTTCAATATGCATAGATTTCACTATAAATTCATTTCGCTTGCATCTGCTCTCATGTCACTAATTCTGCTGGAAAGCATTTAATTCCTGTTTTTGTTTTAACTTATATGCAGGCACATAGTGTATAGTTTGAGTAAAAACCTTACATTCTATGGATTCTTCTTTGCAAGAGGAAGAGTTTTTGAGGCCTGGAAAATGTGATCTATCAATAATCGTAATAAGAATAATCAACATACAATAAATACAAGCACTATAACAAATAAATGCTTCCATATTTCAGAAAGTGGGAAGAAAAAGAACCTAGCTTTGCATAACTCCCTGTGTATATTCATCACGCCTCACTGTCATTGAACAATCTTATTATGTACACACAGATGTCTAAAATTCTCAGATGGATAGCATTAGTGAATCTAGTTGCACATTCCATCAGACATACTTTTAAGTCCAGTAGACGACAAATTATTTCCAGTTATCTAAATATGTTTGAAAGCTGGCATGTCCTGGTAGCTGATTGAGTGTCTGTCCTAAAGGGATGAATGAAGTAACAGATATTTCAAGCCATTCTTCTGCACATAGTTTATCCCTCGCTCACCCCAAACTTAGTTAAGATATTACCCCACCAAGCACCTGTTTCTCCTGTTCATCCAAAGGTTTGCATCATCCAGCTCAACTACAGTTCAGGCTAAAGATAACTGATATCCTAGTCAACTCTTCCATGGTTCTGATGAAACATCTATCCAATATTTCTTCTCTTGTGTTATGTTTTAGCCATTTGTATGTTAGGGCTGAGCCATACCAAATGGGAAGAAGGGAGCCATATTCTGGGAGCCAGGAGTTGTGTTTGGAGTCAGAGCTGAAAAATGTAATAAAACATAGCAGATGGCTTCATGGTTTGACATCTTCAGCACTTTGACTTGGATCGAAAATAGCTCTTCCATGAACAGGGCGGTGTGCTGTTAGTGTTTTCTGCTGATCCCATCCTGCCACACACATACCCGCCCCCCCCCCCCAGCTGCCTGTACCATCTCAGGCATTATTATGGAGACTCTGCTTACCCTCAAGAGTGGCTTTTTGAGGAAACATAAGGGCCTGCATAGAGGAAGCAATGGGAAAGTCTGTTGTTTGATGTCAACTGGTTTTCTAGATTCAAACATGAGTGTTAATATTTCCAAAAGATGTTAAAATCCTAATTGGTTGCAGTATGGAATAATGGCTCACAGGTTTTCTTTAAAAGCTGCATTTAAAATTCCTGAAGAGCTAGTTTTACACATACATTTTCAGTCTTTTCCTACAATATTAATTTGCAAGCTGTGCAGCTTCTATTTTATACAATATTGTATAAATGTGGCTCTTCCTCTCTGTTCCCTCAGCAAATAGTCTATACTGTGGTCATCTTTAGCTTATTCTGTGTTCTTTGCTCTCCATTCTGTCTTCTCAGAAGGCTTTTAAAATAAATCACTGAGAAAACAGGTAAAACTGAGGAATGAGCCCTGTTTGGGTCTTTCACATACAGTCATGTTGGTCTGACATTTGATAGCATTTTTATTTCCAATGAAAGGCCGGTTATTGTTCTCTAACACACTTTAGTGGATTGCTTCTGGCTGAACCAGCTAAGTATTACTTTCTGCAGGTTCTCCCCATAGTCACATAGCTTTCAAAATTGCTGGGTTCAGGAATATCATGAGAACCTTGGACATTTTAATGGCCTCATTCAGTCAAAATGCTAAACCATAGTTCAGTATTATGTGTACCAATCACTCCCACCCTTCCTCTGGCACAAAAACTGACAGGTCTGTTTCCATTTTCAGCAAATTGCAATTTGTAGTTTCATATGTAATTGAAAATACACACGATTAGTTAAAATATGAAACATATGAAACTAATTGTGATTAGTTTCAACTGTACTTCATTCATAGATGCCAGGAGCACAACTGCAATCTGAAGCTGGTTTCTTCTGACAAACCACAGCTATAACTAACTACCATTTGTCCTGGTTAATACAATACAAGAAACTTCTGTTAGTTAAAAATAGAAGTGTTTTCTGATCTGGCAGCCACATGGAGGCAGGGGAGCGTGCCACAAGCCAGGCTTATGAATTGAACTATGGATGGCAGGACCATCCAATGCATGTTTTCTCAGAAGTGTTCCACTTCTTTATTCCCTACCAGCTAAGTGTAGGATTGCATCCTGGCATCCAAACATACAGTAACAGTTACGGTACTGCCTCCTCCAAGCACCCCCAGTATCTGCACCTAAGCCTATCCCAAGACTGGCATGTTTAGGGCTGAGAAAGTATCAGACCCCATGTGCCAGAATTCACACACCACTGAAAAACCACAGTTCAGGCCATTGCCCTGCCACAAGCACCTTCTGCCTCTTGGAGATGGGAGTGAGCTTAGAAAGCTCAGAACCGAGGAGATGGCAAGCAAAAGCAAACAAGCAATTCTGAACTGCGATTTGCCTCTTGTCCATGTGAGCTTGCATGCTATGGAGCAGGTTCTTAACTCTGATTAGCTCAGTCCGTGTATTTGCATTATGTCAACTCACATGAAGGGATAGTAGTCATGGCAAGGTATGCACACCCTTTTAATACCTTCTGCTGCAATATTCGTGATCAAATGCCTGGCCTTTTGTAATTCTAGAGAGTGATACATTTTTATCACCTGCTTCTGATTGCGACTAAAAAGGAAAATAGAAAATTTGATAATGTATTTGATTTTCCTGCAGCCATTCTTCCAAAGCATAGTTGTGACCAACAGCTGTCAAAATTGTTAGTGGGTCTAACTTGCCCTTTATGGCTGTGATACAAAAGTTGACCTAGAAGCTAGGTCCATGCCTCCCATCCTGGAGCTCTTTGAACCTCACATCTCCAACAACAGTCCCCCTTCCCCTTCCCTATCCCCAGTACCACACACCATGCTGCTATTGAGTATGATGGGAATTTCAGAAGCATTTCGGAAATGGCATAGGAGTCCATTGTCCTAAGAAAGAAAAGCAGACTGCTGGGTCTTTGCAAGTCCTTAGGCACAGTCAGAGGAGCACTTTGGATTGTAGCCAATGCTATGATTAAAGTAATTAGGCAACCTCAATTCAAGACACCAGACATTTTTATCTTTCCATTGTGTATTATAGCAAATACTATTTCCTTCTCTTCTGTGCTAATATTTACTACCAACAATTCCAATTTTGATTTACCTTAGAAATGGACCACGGCCAGATGAAGCTATTTATTGACTACATAAAGTATCTTAATCATGCACTACCACAGTTTATGTAGGATACTTTAAAAGTTCTTTCCCGTTTTCTGTTTCCCCTTTGGCAGTGTTTGGAAAGATAAAAGTGATGTAATGTAGTCTATAGGACATCCAGAAGTCATCTAGTTTGACCTGGAAAACAATACATTATCGTGACTATTATTTAAAATAGATTTAGGGTAGCGGAGATTTATTTGTTCATGATTTGTGTGATGGAGCAATAAATAAAGGATTTGCAATGTACACTGCATGCATTTGGTTACTGTGTATGGACAACGTATTACAGCAAATTTTGCAGTTTTATTGAACATGGATTAAAATGAGTTTAATTGAAAAATATTGGGATTTTAAAGGGATCATCTGAAAGAGTAGTATAATGGTTTTAAGATCATTTACTGCCATGATCACCCCAGCAACAAAATAGTCTTTATAGGGATAAAACTACACACCAGCCACCTTTCTAAATTCTGCTTTTCTCTAATCTTAGCATCAACGAGATCCTCGGCTGAATGAAATTTTATTTCCATTTTATGATCCTAAAAGAGCTATGCAAATAATTGAGACATATGAGCCCGATGAAGATTTAAAAAGCAAAGGTAAGGAAGTGGTAAAAGGAGGTCTTTTCTTTAAACGAAACAGTTTCCTCTGAGGCCCCCTGTTCAGATATGTGGGCTGTCCTGACCTTTTGTCTTCTGACAGGTAAATTGCTCTATCTCATTCATCCTCGAAACAAACCACTGAGGTGATACACCAGGCCGTTATTCTTCCAGAGGGCAGGCTGCCATCTGCTCCGTAAAGCTGGTCCTAATTAGTCCCTTTAAACCTTGACAGAAGGTCAAGCATACATATCTAGGATTGTTAAATCGAGAAGCTGAGTGCCCTCATAAGGTCCCATGGAGAGGCAATGGAGACATGGTTGGAGCTTTCTTGAGAACAATCTAACAGATAGTCATTTGGTGGTTAACTGTGAGAGTTCCTGGAAGGAGGCAGAGGAGTTATCAAAATGAATGGCAAGGCTATGTGGATGGGTTGCATTTAATATTGTATTTGCACAGAATCCTCTCTTTTCTGTCTTCTCTTCCCAGCTACCACCCCCCCCCCCCACACACACACACCCAAGTCTGTTCCAGAGAATCCCTCCAGCCTGCATGGGGAAGGGAAATGTACTCCCCTGGCAGATCTTCCATCAATGTGCAGAGTTAGTTGGCTTTTCGATTTGGAAAAAGGGGTCGGGATGCCATTTCAGTAGGACTCGGAGAAACCAGGAGAAGAGAGAAGAAATAAAAAGGGGAAGGGGCATTGCTGGCCCCTGGTTTGTTTGGAACTACAGGAAGGCTCAAGTGTAGGATGGGCAGCAAACAGCGGCTCTCAAACTGGGGAAGGGGAAGGGACATTTCGGGGAGCAGAACAATATCTCAGGAATGCACGGTGGAGAGGAACTCGAAAACCCAGGAGAACCTTTTGGCAAAGTGATCCATATCCAAGGCCATCCTCCAGGAGCCTGGTCCAAGGAATCTCACTGGATGGGCGCAAGCAAGAGCTTTTTCAGTGGGGGTGGCCTGTCTGTGGAATGTCCTCCCTCCCGAGAGGGGCTTGCCTAATGCTTATGCTGTGTTCTTTTCAGTGCCAGATGAACACCTATTAATTTCAAGGCATTTTAAGAACTCCAGCAGTGCTTTTAGATCTTGGTACCACTTCAATTTATACAGTTGTTTTACTTTGGTTTTATTATGTGCTGTTTTTATTATTTGTGTCGGATTTACCTGCATGCTCACCAGAGAGCTCTGGTTATCAAGCATTCTGGAAGTGATCCATAAAATACATGAATGACTTCTCACTCCCTAAGCCTTTTAGTGGCTGGTCAAGTAGGTGCTGCAGTGAAGCTGGATCAGGGAAGGACAAAGAGACTAAGTCCTTTACACTCCCCGGATGCTGCACAGCTGGTTGAGTGACCATAGCCAATGGGTGCTCATGGAAGGCTTTGCATCGAAGTGGAGGGAAGGCCCGATGGACTGCCACAGAGCTGTTTCAAGGCCTCTGCTGTTACACGTTTCATATACATTACCTAAATGAGAGCAGAGTGAGGGAGCTTACCTACAAAAGACACAAAATTGGTGTGTGTGGCAGGGGAGATAGCTAGCACATAGATAATATAAGCAAGGTGAAAAATGATCCGGAGACGGTAGCACCCTGGGCCAAAACCAAGAAGGCAGAGGTAAATGTAAAGACCCGGATTTTGGTAAAACAAATGAAAGGTGCCAGTATGGGATGGGGAAGATCTCATTTAGCAGCAGTGTGTTGCAGAGGATCTAAAGGTCTTAGTGGATTGCAAGTAGTACAGGAGCCACCAGTGCAAGTCTTTTTCAATTTGTTATTTATTTCTATAAGGCACGTAAAACATGGGAGCAGGGGGTTGAATTAGTGGAATGCCGAGGACCCTTCCATCTTTTGTGATTCAAGCGATCTTGGATCTTTGAGCCAAAGAACCCCTGGTCCTTGCAGTTAGTATCTTCAACTGGAGATACTCCAGTTGATCCCATAGTTCTGGGACATGGCAGCTACCTAGCCTCTTTAGATGGTTGAATGCATACTTTCCGATATCCATTGGGAAGAACATTCGTTTTTCTCCATCCTTTTCGGGCCTGATTCTCCTGATGTAGTCACTGTGGCCCGGTGATCACCGTTGTGGTACATACATCTGAAGAGCCAGAAAATCTCTGGACCTTAGGGGGAATCGACACAAGTGGGGCCAGTGCAGGTTTGCAACAACAGCTTGTTTCACTGATGCAAGAGCAGCTGGAGACGCCATACCCCTCCCATCTGCAGTGCTGCCATTTTCCACCGGTGTAAATGCATACAATCTGTAACACTGCGTTAACATATTTTTCAGGTCTCATGTCAAGTGATGGGTTTTGCCGGTACTTGATGTCAGATGAAAATGCACCTGTCTTCCTAGACCGTTTAGAACTATACCAAGAAATGGAGCACCCTTTGGCTCATTACTTCATTAGCTCCTCTCACAACACCTATCTCACAGGAAGACAGTTTGGTGGGAAGTCATCTGTGGAGATGTACAGACAAGTCCTCTTAGCTGGATGCAGGTTGGACATGCGTGATGGTGACTTAAGTGAATGTTTTAGAGAGAGACTACATTCCAAAATAGGCCAAACCCATCTGATTCAGCATTACATATTCTTTTTTTTTAATAAGTTTTATTATTATTTTCTACTAACTAACAAACCTAACAAAAAGAAACAAAAAAATAGTCACTGAGAGCATCAGACCCACTGGGTCAGCCCCCCATATTTTTTCTTTTTATGATAATCCATAAAAATATTTAAATCTATCTATAATCCCATTTCTCTAGCCAATAATAAAAGGAATTCCAAGTTTCATAGAAGTCTGTATCTTCTTTCTCCTTCAGTGACAAAGTCAATCTGTCCATTTCTGCACAGTCCAAGATCTTTTTTAGAATCAGTTCATTGGTAGGTGGCTCTTCACTCTTCCAGTGTTGAGCAAATGCAATCCTCGCCGCAGTAGTTACATGTAGAGTCAAATACATTGCTTGTTTACTAACATCATCAGGTATAATGCCTAATAGGAAAACTTCCGGTTTGAATGCTAGAGATTTTTGTAACATTTCCTCAAGCCATTTGTGTATTTTAATCCAATACTTTTTTGCCTTATCACAGGTCCACCACATATGATAAAAAGTACCCAATTTACGTTTACATTTCCAACATCCATTTGACATATTTGGAAACATCTTGGCTAATCTGTTTGGCAACAGATACCATCTATAAAACATTTTATACAGGTTTTCTTTATATGAAGTTGCTAATGTTACTTTAATATTTCTTTCCCACAGCTTTTGCCATTTTTCTAATTCAATATTATATCCAAAGTTTTGTGCCCACGTTATCATCGTTTCCTTAACCTGTTCACCGTCCATTCTCCTATCTAGTAAGAAGTTATATAATCTTTTAATCATTTTCTCATCTGATTTAAGAATCACTTGGTCAAATGCTGTTAACTCCTTATAAAAGCCCCACATTCTATAGTCTTTAGCATGTCTCGATTGCATCTCAACCTTGTGCCACTAAGAGATATTAATTCCTTGTTGTATTTCTTGATTCAATTTCAGTCCTCCATCATTATCCAAAATATCATCATATCTCACAATCATTTCAAAATTCAATGCATTTGGATATGCAAGAGCTTCCATAGGCGAAAGCCATCTTGGTAATTTAGTATACAGTTTTATCTTTAACTTTTCCCACACTGACATTAATGATTTCCTAATATAATGATTTAAAAAACAACCATGTGCCTTACACTTTTCATACCACATATAAGTATGCCAACCCATGTGCAAATCATGCCCTTCAAGGTACAAGATTCTCTTATTTCTTAAGGTTATCCATTCTTTTAGCCACGTTAAAACAGAAGTTTGATAATACAGCATCCAGTCGGGAAGACCAAAAATCCCATTCCCTTTAGCCTCCTGAAGCATTTTTAATTTAATCCTTGGTTTCTTCTTTTTCCATATAAATCTCAAAATTTGGATATTTAGATCATCAAAGAATTTTTATCAATTTTTATGGGAATCATTTGGAATAGAAACAAAAGCTTTGGTAATATATTCATTTTAACTGGCGTAATTCTTCCCAACAAGGATAATTGCAAATTAGCCCATTTTTCCAAGTTGCTCTTAATTTCCTTGAATAGTTTATCATAATTGTCTTCTTTCAATGTAGTACACTTAGCTGTAAGAAAAATTCCCAAATATTTAACCTTTTTAACAATTTGAAGATCTACTTGTTCCACCAGAGTTTTTCTCTGCTCCAGTGTAAGATTTTTTACTAACAATTTTGTCTTATCTCTGTTTATTTTCATTCCAGTAACCTTGCCATATTCTTCAATCCTTTGTAGAAGTTTAGATATTGTTACCAGGGGTTCTTCAATTATAAAAACTAGGTCATCTGCAAATGCTTGCAATTTATAGTTTTCATCTGTGATTCTAGTGCCTTTAATATCCATATCATCTCTGATATTTCTATTTAACACTTCTAAGATCAGTATAAACAGCAGTGGTGAAAACGGGCATCCTTGTCTTGTGCCCTTTTGTATGTCTATAGTATTTGTAAATTCTCCATTGATTATAATCCTAGCAGACTGTCTTTGATAAATGCTTAATATTGCATTAATAAATTTTGCACCAAACTCCATTTGAACTAGTTGTTGCTTCATAAATTGCCAATTAACATTGTCGAAGGCCTTCTGTGCATCCATGAATAACGCCACTGATTTTTCAGAATGTACCTCATAATACTCTAAAATGTCCAAGATAGTTCTTATATTATTCCTCATTTGTCTTTTAGGTAAAAAGCCATTTTGATCTGGATGTATAAAGTCTATTAAATACTTCTTTAATCTTTCTACCATTATGGAGGCAAAAATGTTGTAATCCACGTTTAATAATGATATGGGTCTGTAGTTGTGAATCTGTGTCAAGTCCGTGTGTTCTTTCGGTATTAATGCAATATTTGCCTCTGTCCAAGTATTTGGTATTTTAGCATCTAGCAGCATTACATTTTCTTCAAAATGAGGCATACATGCAGCAAACACTGAATGAAATATTGAAAGGAACTTAAGGGCACTAATGGAGATTTGCAGTGAAATCTTTTAAGAAATTACAGGATGAGGAAAGGACAAACGCTGCACTTCATTCTGCCAACATAATGCTGCTTGTTTTGACCATTTTGATCACAAAAAAAGAAAACTATTGGAGCCATGTGCATTTCAGAAGCATTTGCCTTCATCTACATAAATTTGTATTTATATGTGTAATTTATATTTAATTGCTTGCAGTGAATAAGTGTGATGGTAAATTCAGATCCAAATAAGAAAGAAATATCTGGTGTTTAATAACTTTATCTCAGATGGTGTAGGTGCATGCAGAATATGCTTAGGAATTCTTGTTATTCTGGGACATCACTGTTCATTTTAAATCTTTATATTTAATTGCTTCGGCCCTGAAAAGGGGATTGAGGTTTTTTTCACTTTGGTTTACAGATGTGTGGAACTCGATTGCTGGGATGGAAAAGGTGAAGACCAAGAACCAATAATAACACATGGAAAGGCCATGTGTACAGACATTCTTTTCAAGGTAAACATTACCTGTGATACACAGGAATTGAGCCAAAGCTCTGCTGGTCATTTTTGTACCAGGAACTCAACTGTGAGTAGCTTAAACTCCCTCTTAACGAAAGGTTGCTATTCTACCCAAGTATATAAGAGTTCTTTCTTCCCCCCTTTCCATAGCTTGCTTAGGACTGATCTCCAGTCACCCTCCATGCAGCAACGTTCAGTCCAAACCATCCCTGGGAATTCTTTCTGACTCTGTTGCGTTTGAGATTCTTGCTTAAAGGGAAGATGTATGAGAAGGTTCACAGCATGGTGTCCAGCCATGGAGCCCTCTAGTGGAGTCTGTGAGGCTCTCCCTCTTAAAAATAAAGTTTTCAGGAAAACCTTGAAAATATGTAGGCAGTCATGTTTCTCCCCTTTCTAGCTGCTAGCCTTGCCCTTTCTCTTCCTTTTATCCCTTTTCCTTGCCATTTCCCTCTGCTTCATAGTTTCTAGTCTCACTGTTTCCCTTCCCACACCTTTTTTGATTAGCTAAACCCTCAAGACAGCCCCTAAGTAATTAGTCACGTCCACTGAGGGAACCAATCTGTGGTGGTGACCACAGCATTTTCACAAACTTCCAGATGCACCCATCAGTTCAAAAAGACTGTGGGCTCCGGTGTAGGATCTGCTTCAAATAGGGCCTTGCTAGTGGCTATGACTTGCATAAATAGGCCACTGTGGGTCAGATGCTTCTGCCTGCACTCAACTTCCTTTAGCAGCAGGGAGCACTTTTGGGAGACTTGTTAGTCTTTTCAATGGTAAGGTACAAAATTTTAAAAACCAGTATGAAACTCTTTTCAGTAGGCATTGTGTATTATATTTTGCTTTTGAATGGTGGCATCCTTTTTATTTTGTTAATATGCACCAATTGTACCTGAATTGGTTTTCACATGTAAACTTCTCTTTGCATTTTTAAAGGATGTGATTCAAGCCATTAAGGAAACAGCATTTGTAACATCTGAGTATCCTGTCATCCTGTCATTTGAAAACCACTGCAGGTATATTATGAAGAATTGTTCCTCTTGCATATTTCCATGGTGAGATGAAAGAGAATGTGGCAAAGCTCAATGCAGGGCAACTGTTGCTAATGACAGCATTCTAAGGTGATTGACCTAAGTTAAATCTGAGAACACTCTGAGTACTTTCTTTAATTACAAATTAATTGGATTTAATCTGTTTTAGAATGCTGTTTTTCAAACTGTGTTGTAGGAGCTTTAATGCGACTGAAGGTCACTTTCATATAATGATTTTTAATCTTTTCTTCAATTGCTTTTGGTTTCATTGTGTTAGTATTTTATTTGTACATGGTTCACCTATTTCGCTATAATAACTTTGTTTTACATATTTTGGTTCATGGCAATGCCTCTTTTCCAGCAAATACCAACAATACAAAATGTCAAAATATTGTGAAGATATTTTTGGAGACCTTCTGTTAAAGCAGCCACTGGAAGGACATCCAGTAGGTATCTTCCAACTGTTTTGCTTATTTTCTTTCTTTATTATATTTATACCCCTCCTTTTTTCCTTCCGAGAAACTCAAGGCAAATTTCATAATCCTCCTCCTCTCAATCTCATCTTCACAATGCAAACTCTGTAAAGTAGGCTGGGCTGAGAGTCTGATTGACCCAAAGTCACCCAGTGAGCTGAATGGTTGAGTGGAGATCTCCTGAATCCCAGTCCTGTATTCTTAACCACTACACAGCTGCTTGAATTTTCTTGTAGAAACTTTGGTGGCAAGAGTCACAAATATTTATGAGCTTAGTTGACATCAGATTTCTCATTATGAAATCCTGTGTATGAATCCTGTAAACTCAGATTCTGCTACTTGCCTTTTTCCTTCAGTTATTCCGCATGGGAGTCAGATGTCCCCCTGGTGCCATTTTGAAGCTGGGTGAAATATTATCTGTATGATCTTACCAGCTCCAACAGTTTTATGTGGTGGCATCTTATCTTTGGAATTTATTGCTCCTGGAATACAAGCTAGAAAGCCATTTAAATGGAAGGGGATTAGGAAACTAAGAGCTGCAATGACGGACGTCCCTCTTAGCCAACTGGCATTGCACATGCAATAAAGTTTTCTTTGACAGCAGCACAACCTGGCAATTCCCATTCAGGGCCACTGGGGTTGAGGGCGCTCTGGGCTGTGCACCCCAGCAGATGGTCATTTTGAACTTGTGCCATTTTTGGTGCAGTGCCTGGAACTTTTCCCCTTCAGTATTTGTTTCCCTAGTTAGATCCCATTACGCTCCCTGTCCCATAATTCAGTAGCCAGCATCTTTCTCTTTCTGCTTCCCTCTCATCCTCTTCTGCAGCCACCATGGGCCACCTGGGCTCTTGCCCTTCCTGGGAGCACATATATCTAGAGGGTTAATGCACCCTCTGCCACCTGCTGCCATCCAGTTTCCCTTCCCTTCCACCTGCCCCTTGTTGGCACGCTCTGAAATTTGGACCCCTGCTTGTACTGCTGCTTGCCATTGCTCAGCTCAGCTGCCACCTGCCAATTTTATCTTTCTGTTCATGCCCAGCTCTGACAGACTCCACAGGCTGTCACCATGTTTTTTCTGGGTTACTGCCCACATTCCTGTGTCTGCCTCCATCATCTCTCAAGCATTTTGAGGTGAGGTCACAAAGAGCCCTGAATAGCTGGGGAACCCGCCCCCCCTTCCTTGTCTGTGGCTTTTCCACCTATGTGCCGCGGCCCATTTCCAGACACTAGTGTCCCCTATGGGCACACACGGCTGCTGCCCAGCTCCAAAAATGAAGACTGAGGCCCCCTGCTCCAGAATATACCCATCTCAAGAGATGAGAATCTCTGCCCATAGTTGCTGCTTCTGTCTGTCGAGATGGAAAGGTGAGAGGGACTTTGGGCCCATATCCTGCTCCTGCTTTAGAGTGTTTGTGTGAGTGCGTGTTTTATGGCAGGGGGTCAGGCAGAAACTGGCCATTGTGACCTACCTGTCTGAGGGAGACATCTAGACTCTTGGGATGAGTTGTCACCAAGAGATGAATGATGGACCAATGAACAGTCAGTCATGGACGCTTAGCACCCAAAATCCTCACCAGATTGTTTTGGACGAAATCCACTTTCTTACTGGGGCCAAGAAACCCTGCCTGGATGCTGGGTGAAATGGGGGTTAAATGGCTGAATGGGGAGCTTTTTTATTATTATTATTATTATTATTATTATTATTATTATTATAACATTTCTATGCCGCCCCTTGCCGAAACCTCGGGGCGGCTTACAACATGATAAAATACATTGAAATATTTAAATGTCTCCCACACTTATGCAGTGACCCCAAACTAGATGGGGGTCCCAGCATATGCTTAATTCAGGGTCAAAAAGAAAGCAAGGCTCGGCTGCATCATGTATTCAACTAGGCTGTAGTTTAACCCTGAAAGATAGTAGGAGTTATTCTAGGCCAGGTAGATGTTGTTGGTAAGGACTACGTGACAAAAGTATACAATAATTTTGAGTGGGTGAGTTAATTGTGTACAGTCAGTCTACTGGAGAACCAAATAGTCACTGCAACTCAATAAAAACAGCCATTGCTGCTGCAGGGGTCACCCAGATACCACGGCCATGTGAATCAGATCTCGGAGGTGGAGGAGGAGTCACCCATTCCAATTTCCCCTAAGCCACAGTTGTACTGGGTAACTTTAGTTAGGCCTCACTTCTAAGTACCTATGAGAGTAGAGCTCTTATACTGATTATAACTATATAAAAGAGAGAAACACTGCAGGACAGCTTGCACAATTACCATATTCTCTCTCAAACCCCACTGGGATGAAAATGAAACAACTCCCGCTGGAACTATTGCCTTCCATGAACTAAGTTTTCTCGGGGCCTAATGATCCCCCCCCCCCGCTCTCTCTCATGCCATCTGTGCACAAAGGCACTTCACAAAGAGCAGGTCTTTCAGGTCCCCATCCAATTTGGCTTTCAATTTAAAAATTGGGGAAACAACAGATGAAGAGGAGAAAAGGAAGCATGAGAAGCACAAGATGAATATCTCCTGCTCAAACCCACTTCCTTCAGTTACATGTGCTTTTTCTTGGTTACCTAATCCAGATTATTTAATCTGAACAGCATTCTCTCACCTGGTTAAAATACAAACTAGCCCCTAAGAAAGGCAAGGGAAATACCACCTAGCATAGACCCAAGAGACAGACCTAATGGGGAGGCACAAGGTCATGTTCTAATGTAGAGACAGACACAAGATGGAGCTGGTAGATCTTGGGGTGACTTTCAGGAAGTGCATGTGTTTCTTAAATAGTACCCAAAGGAAGCTCCTATCCATGTTGGAACTGGCGCACTCCTTTCCCCTTATACTAGAGTTGCAATCAAGCTGATAATGCTCTCTGGCTTGAGATTCAGCAAGCTTTTTTCATGAAAGCAGCTGGCCATGTTTGGGCTGCTCTTCCTGTTAGGCAGGCACTAGTTGAATGGAAGCACATTAGCCAGTCTATCCCTCATGCAGGTGAGGAGCATCCAAAGGAAGCACGTGGGTTACTTAGTCTGTGAGATCACAATAACCGGCCTCCCTCCTTCATGAAGGCAGCATCAGCAGGATGTCACAATAGCCAGTCTCCCTCCTCCGGATAAGCAGCATCTGCATAACATCTCAGTTTATTCACTGAGCCACATGTATCCCAGCTTTTCGGTGCAAAACCACCACTAAAATGGCCTACAAAGTAGAATTTTCTACAAGTGATATAAAAGCATTGCCCAAGCTGACAGATTCAACTGTTAAAAGGAATCCATCCCCAGACAGAGAACTGGATTCTTCTGGAGGAGGGGTACCCCATCAAAAACAGCCTGAATCCCTGCTCCAGAATAATTCTCCTTACTGGACCTCTGTGTCACTTGGGCTAAGCCTCTGTTCCATAGCCATCACCCAGGCTATTGCTTCCAGCCTCCGTGCTCTCATTCAGAATGTCAATAGAATCTTTGGTGCTCAGCGAAGAACAGAAACCAGTTATTCAGTGTTCTTTTTTCCCCTGTACTTTTGTACAACTGAATATACATACAGTTCTGGAAAAATGAAGAAGCGACTGCAAGTCCAATCAATCTGTGCAACTCAGAAAAAGCCAATCTGTTACACAATCTCTGGATTCAATTTAGAGATGTGTGACATGGGAAAACTCATACTGTTTGAGTTCTAAAGGTTTTTGACACATTTCTGACTTGTTGGGAAATGGCACAAAATCATTTACTTAATAATTTACTTTGCACAAAGCATAGCCAGCGCATTAGATTGGAGTCACTGTTGTAGCATTTAACATGAAAACAGCATCCAGTAAAAGCGTACACTCCAGCTTGGTCACTTTTCTGGCAATTGTGGACTTGTGTAGCATTCATACCTGTGCTCCGCATTTTCAGCAATGTAATTAAATTGTGCAAAGTGCACAGTGGAGGCCCAGGTTTTGCTCAACTTCTCCAGCCTCTTTAAAAAATGCAAACCTCATCCTGTTTTAAAAAAATGGAAGCCCATCTGCTGATTGAACTCGTGTCAAACCAGATAAAGTGGTGCAGCGGCTTAATGATGCTGGAACTATTGGCCAGAAATGGTTGGCACTCCAGCGGTTCAAGCCCAGCCTCTGCCAGGCGGGGCGAGCTTCCGTCATTCTCCCCTGCACCTCACCAACCTAGCAGTTTGAAAGCATGTAATGCAAGTGGATAAATAGGTACCACCTTGGTGGGAAGGTCACAGAGCTCCGTGTTGTCATGCTGGCCTCATGACCGCAGGATCTTCTTTGGACAGCACTGGCTTATGGCCTCAGAAATGGAGATGAGCACCGCCCCCCGTTAGCCACTGGCTTAAGCAGAGTAAAATCCACAGGGATTCCTTTACTTTTACCAAATCAAGAATGCACCAGTGCAGGATTCATGGAGCGGAGTCTTTGGAATCAGTAATGAAAGTCATCAGATTTTTTACATCCCTACTTGATTCCCCTTATATCAGATTCATAGAAACCCAAACTCATTTGAATCTGTTGTGGGTTTCTCTTGACATCCTTAACCAAGAGTGAGCAAGCCCTCTAAGTTTGCCACAGTTTCCTATAGAAATGTAGATTTGTCCTTGTTATGTGCCTGGGAATGAATGCCCTCTGAACTGACCTGACCTTCACAGCCCTGCTTGGCTCTGAGAAACTCTAGGCTGTGGCTTCCTTCATGGAGTCGATGTATCCCATATTTGGAGCAACCTAGATGCAAAGCAATTTTATTTGCATTGGCCCTTTGAAGTGCTGTCAAGTAGACGGGGTTTTGAGAGCAGTCTTGCAGTTGGCAAATGATAAACCATGTTTGAATAAGGTAATGTGCCATGGAAAATGCTACAGAGAGAAGGGGAAACAGATAACTGTACGTCCCACAGGCTTCTGCAAATCACCGGACACGTCATTATTTTTGAATCTCTGTTTGGCACATTCATCTTAAATGTAATTATTGTGGGCAGAACTGTACCAAAAGACATTAAAGCAGAGTCCACATATTTGCCTGCCACCATTTCCTAAATATGGCTTGTCTTGGTTGCAGCTTGAACCAGGAAGACCCTTGCCCTCTCCAAATGACCTTAAGAGAAAGATCCTTATTAAAAACAAACGGTTGAAACCTGAAGTGGAAAAAAGTAAGTAAATGCTATGTTGGAAAAAAAAAACCTGAAACAAAAGCAGTGCTGTCGTATGTATTTAAATCTGCTCAATTTAAATCTGGTATCCGCAGACCATAGGATAGGGAATAGCTTCTGCTTTGCCACTCTTGCCGTGCCTCTGTCAAAAATAACAAAGTATGTTCCAGACTTTTGTTGATTTGTTGTGGGTGTTTTGTTTTGTTTTGTTTTGGTTTTGGCCCTTCCTGTAGTTCTCATGATGATTTTTAAAGACTTCTTGAATTATTATTCTCAAATGAAGTAGTGGCCTTCTGTGCTACTATGTTTTTGACAGTTCCAGTTAAGAACTCAACCTTAGGGAGGCCTAAAGGATACTTACCAGCTAAGATCCAATGTATTAATTATGAGCAGTGTCAGAGGAGACACTCCAGTACTGGAGTAACATTGAGCAGGACTGATTATGCAGGCAAGCCCCGCAGCATGGCTTGTTGCGCCCATGTTGACTTACTCTGAGTACCAGCAGCAGTGGTCCAGGAGGTGGTAGGCCTGGTTACTTCCTTCCATATGTGCCGGCCCACCCCTTAAGATCTGGGTCAGGCGCCCTTCTCTGGGTGCCCTCTCTGAAGGAAATTAGGAGGGTGACTATCCAGAGAAGGGCCTTCTCTGCGGTGGCACCCCAGTCGTGGAATTCGCTCCCCAGAGAGGTTCGCCTGGTGCCAGCACTCTATTCTTTTCAGCACCAGGCCAAAACCTCTTTATTTTCCCAATGTTTTAAGATTTGACTGTTTTAAGTGGAGTTTTTATTATTGTTAAATTTTAGGACGCTGTGTTTTAAGTATTTTTTTTTCTTTTCTTACATTTTATTGTTAAACCGTCCTGAGACTTCAGTAATGGGACATACTTCAAAAGTTTTAAATAAAATAACATCACTCCCCACTATTTTATTTATTTAACAGATTGCTGGCCATATGATTCTGTACCTGTGTACACTCTGTGAATAGCCATGTGATCATGACTGCCATGTTGGGACTTGCAACTTAGAAATGACAGCAGCGACTTGGGTTGAAATGCAGTTTTACTGAACTTGGATTGTTGTGAGCTGTCCAGAGACTCCATGTGATTGGATGGCCTTAAAATACCCCAATTAAATACAACCAAACAAACAAACACATGAAGTACACAGGGACTCAGTGCAGACAATGGTCAGGTCCACTTTTTGGTTTGGGAAGGGCAATCTGAGACAGGTCTTGCCAATTAAATGATTTTCCAGTATATGCTGATTTTAAAAAATCCTGTTTTGCTTTTGTATGTGTGTATGTGCATGTTTCTTTGAAACAGAGCAGCTCGAAGCCTTGAAAAGCATGATGGAAGCTGGTGAAACGGCTGCTCCGGTCAGCATCCTGGAAGACGACAATGAAGAAGAGATAGAAAGTGGTACAGTGATTCTTAAAATTGCCTCCTTAAGCTGAGCCTGCTGGTGGTTATATTGCCTCAGTGGATCACTCATTTGACAGCCAGGCTTGACAGCTTTGGTTTAACTGTAATGTGTGCTGGTAAGGACCAAAGTGAGGTGAGCATCTCCTTCTAGCTTAAATCTCACAATCTTTTCATCTGGCTATTGAACATGAGGGACATTTGCCAGAAGCACAGGGAGTTGGTACCCCTCAGTCACAGCCTGAGGATGGGGCTTAAAGGAACCGACTGCACCTCCAACTAGCAGATCAGGTATTGGCATTAGTATTTGCTCCTTGCCAAAGCACAGAAGTCCCAGGACCTCCCCTCTCCCTGTGGAACAGCTGCTGGATCTTTGTTATCTAAAAGTGAGGTCCAGATGCACAGAGCAGGTAATGGGCAATTGCCACATGAGTAGCTGTGGGGGAAGAAAAACCAGTCACAGGATCCTCGTTTTGAGCTGTTGTCCCAGCTTATAAAACTAGTAAATGACTTTGAAACCTCCCTGCCACCTTTTAAAGACATGGGGTTTGTTGCTTGGATTTTGTGCCTTTTTGTAGTTTGTTCTAATGCCAGACTCCTTTCTGGCTTACATCATTTTGTAGCTGACCAAGAAGAAGAAGCCCATCCGGAGTACAAATTTGGAAGCGAGCTCTCTGCAGATGACCTGAGCCAAAAGGAATCTGTAGCCATCAATGTGAAAAAGGTAGGATAGATTTTCCTTTCATGCATTTTAATTGGAAGATGACTCACTCAGATAGTCACAAGAGCAGAATTATAGGACATGCCATAGGCAGAAATCACATAAGAGCTTCCTTATGCCATTGCCAACATCTTAAATGTACAGCAGTGTCAACTTCTTTCAAGGGTGTCTGATTCTTATTCCGTAGTCTGCTATCCCACCCTGTGTGCCAGATGGCTCTTTGTTACAGAACATTTCATTGTACTAGGCCAGCAAACATATCAAATCCAGATTGCCCCTGGAAACGTTCAAACTCTGAACAAATGCGTAACTTTGTTCTTGTTGGCTCCTTCTTTCTTACTGGCTATCTTCTGATCTTGATCCAGGCAGTCATACCAGTGGAGGCCATCCTTCCTACCAACTGCTTGTTTGAAGCACTTTGAAATCTCTGGAATAGAATTACTGATTCAGGAAAGATTGCTACTTACTTTTTCTTAACTCTCTGGAGCTCCAAGTTGCATCCAACTGAGATGGGGATTGTCCTCACAGCATCATGTGTGAACCGAGTGGCCCACAACTCCTTCCAGTTAGTAAACCTGTGCTTGGTTGTGAGCTGCCTTGACTGCATTGATCTTTTAAGAAATTACATGCTAGGTACTCCTACATAGAGTCTTCAGGCGATAGCTTGCATCTTTCAGTGCAAATGTCAAGGATAAAATTGCAGATAAGTGCCCTGTGCATTTAGCCAGAACGTAACACTGAATTTCAAGCCATCATTAGAACCTCTTTGGTCTTTTTTTCCACACAGCAGCAACTCTAATAAAAAGTATTGAGCAGCTTCAGTGCACTTATTTTTCATTCAGTGGTTTGAGTAATCTGGACTGGACCTCAGATGAGTTACGGTGCCAGCTCTTGTTCGTCCTTTGTTCCTCCTTTCTGTAGGGAGGACTTTCGCTTGGACATATTATAAACCACTGTGCTTTTAAAAAGAAGTTGTCATTTATGCCTGTGTGCCCACATGTTACTAGTGAAAAGAGTAGATTTAACAGACTCATCCAGTGTTTTTCCCCCATGCTTTGTGCTTCCCTCACCCATCCTTTGAGTTATGTATGATATTGCAACTTCTTTGGATAATATCTGTATTTTTCCCCTTAGGCTGTGGACGATTCTGAACAAGAAAACAATAAAAAGGTGATCCTTGAGATATTTTATAGCTTTCAATTTTTTTATTTCTCTGCATCTAACAAAGTTGCTTGGTAGAATGCATTCTTAACCCCCTGCATCATTTAACCCTTCTCTTTGTTTAGTGCTTCCTCAAGATTTGGTAGATTATTTCTAGTTGTCCTGGTGGCTCTTTTTTATATCAGGAGTCGCAAGTCCAACCCCCGTCCCCCCAGTGCAGGGGATTTGGATGCTGCTGGCCTGCATGGTTCTTCTGTCTTAGCTTAAGTTATGGAGTCAACTTACTGGAAACCGATGAGCTACTCTGATTTCCTTCTCATCTCTTCATATCTCCCTTTACTTTGGCTTTCTCTTTCTTTTTTATTTTCTTTTGGGTTGGAGGACTGCATGTTAAACTTTCTTCTGGAAATGCTTTGCTTAAGCCTCTTTTCCTCATTATTCTTCTCCAAATTACTGTTCTGCCAAGAGTCTCCTAATTCCTAGGCCTACTCATTATTAACCTCTTCCAGTCTTTTATAGGAGGCACTTACGTTGTTTATAAAGAAGAGGGTGGACTTTCAGCGATGAAGTCCTAAAATGTCCTGGCATTATGCCATAAGCATCAGTTTAGTTCATTAGGAAAAGCTGAGGCACACAATTTTTGCTCTGTTCCATCAATATCATTTCAAAGGAGATGCATATATTTCATTACCAATGGTCAACCATCAAAAAAAGTCAAGGAGACGCATTATATTAAGTGTTTTGAATTAATCTTTCCATTCCATTATCTTTCCATGTTTTGCTTGCTTTGAACAGTATGTACTTCAAAAGAGACTTCAGCCTGTTTTCTGGGCATCCATCTAATTTCCCCATTATCCTGTAGAAGCCCCACCACACACTTGAAGTCCTTTATTCTGATGTAGAGCCCAGTCTCTCATTGCTGTTCATTTCATGGCTCACGGGTATTGTCAGGATGTTCGATAGCAGCTACTTGGTGTTATGAAAATCCTGGCATTTTCTCAGTGAAGGAAGGCAAAGCAATGAGTTGTCACATTAAGGTTGCAGTCATGGGCACACGTACCTGAGAGTAAGGCCCATGAAACTCAGGTGAGTTACATCTGAAGAGACATGCCTAGGATCACAGCTGGGGAGGGACTTGATGCTGTGGAACTGGGGGAGAGGACAAAGCCCTAGAAGCAGTGTAGGGCTTGGAGTCCACTAGTACTTCATGTTAGGTGACAATGTCACTGGTACAGGGATTCGTCTTCTAAGATTTCTGCAATACATGGCTTGCAAAGTGGGCAGGCCACAAAGTGGAACTGTTAGTGGAGGCTGCCATTTTTTACTGGTAATTCGTATTCAGATACAGGAGGTTGGCTCTAAAGGTACCATTCCACTCACACAAGAAATGTGCTATCTAAATCCAAGGGGCTTTTTTTTTTTCCTGCTTGCACAAGGATTTGTGCAACTGCTTGCACGAGAGAGAGCCCGAAGTCTATCAACCTATTAGGACACTGCATGAAGACAAATACAAACACTTGTGCAAGTATTGCAGAACAGCAGTAGTACATTCATGGTGCTCAGGATCCAACCAATGAATGTGTGAGACTTGAAGGCTGTATGTTGCGTTGCAACGGACCCACGGAGGCTTTATTTCCTGAGTGCCTTGGCATGGGAGTGGGCATTTCCCTATCCACATATCTCTTGGGGCTGGTACTGGGAGAAGGTTACATGTATTCCTGTATGACCTCCATGAGAGTAATGGTTGCTAGCCCTGGGTTCTTCACCTTTTTGGACCTCTGGGCACCTGGGAATTCGAGAAGCTGCTGTGGGCACCACCAGAAAATGGACGCTGTGGTAGATGCTGCTCGTGAGGACCTGTCTAGTCAAAATGAGCTAGGTGTGCGGGGGGGGGGGGGCACTGGAGAGAAGGGAACGTAGCAAGGACAGTGGGTAGAGGCAAAAGAAAGGCCATGGCTAGAGGCTAGAAGGGGAGAAATGAAGACTGCTGTAACATTTTCTAATATTTTCCTTAAAATGTGTATGCATATATATTTGAAGAGGACAGGAAGAGGAGAGATTTGTGGGTGTTGTTGAGTGTCCATGTGGAATGATGCCGATTCCACTCTCATGCCAGTGGAATGTTTCCCACTCCCCACTGCAGCCACTCACCTCCGCCCTTGTTGGGAGGCACGGAGCCCAGGACCGTATGAGACAGCCTGTGGCACTGGAGTAGCAGGCCTTCTCGAAGGGGGTCGTTCAGGCCTGGACCTTAGAAAGACAGAATAAAATGCAAAAGCAGGCAAAGATCCAAGTGCAGAGCAGACCCATCTGTGGTCCGATCCTGCCTACAGACTTCTCTGTTCTGCTCTTTGACTGCAGTAGTGGAAAATGGCTTGGTCACTCCTTAATGCAAAAGGTCATTTTTTACCCTGGTGAGCACAAGATTTCAACGCACTGCTCAGCATTTCTTAAATTCCCACTCCAGTTTGTCAACAGTGTCCTCCTTTTCCTCCTCTCTCCTTCTCTCAGTGTTACCCCCACTTAGATAGTAACTTTAGAGGCCAGGAGCCTCTGTCCTGATCAAGAAATTCTGCAAAGCGCCATGCACACGGATGGTGGTACATACAGTCATGTAACGATTCAGTAAAACATAATTTGATCTGACACTCCACCTTGTACTCCCTTCAGTGTATGCAAGCATTTTGTGCATGCACTAGTGATCCAGAAGGCCTTCAATGTGTCATTTCCATTTAGGTTTGCTGCTACAAACCCTGACCAGATCCTGTGCAGACTAATTCCTGTTCGGACAAAGAAAACTGTCATTGACGGATGTGTTTGTCTAAATATGCTTTCAGGGTGTAATAACGGCAGAAGACGAGCAAGCATGGATGGCTTCTTATAAGTATGTAGGAGCTACAACCAATATACACCCATACTTATCCACGTTGATCAACTATGCTCAGCCTGTTAAGTTTCAAGGCTTCCATGTAGCAGAAGGTAATTTAAAAACATCCAATTAATATGAAATACAATTTCGTTTTACTGTGTAGCTCAAAGTCTAGCTGAAAGTGTGCCTTTTACCTTGTCGTTTCATTTCATCCTTTGTCCACATGGAGGCACCAGATAATGAGGAGGACAGAGACGAGAACCAACACGAAGGCTGCCTCTGTAGCGCAGCTGTATTTATTTGTGTGTTTTGTTTAACTGCTTTTTCATTTTTAGTAAAATACAGTTGCTATAAATATTTGAATTTTACTCATAATATTCTTTCTTTATACCTCCAAACACAAGCAATGCTGATTTCATGCTATTCTAACTCTCCACCTGGTGATTTTGTAATTTCACAGAAATGAAGCTGATAGTCAAAAGCTCAGAAAAGATATCATGACAGATGACCATGTTTTTATTTTTTATATTGGCTATGCAGTGTAACCATTAGATAGATTTTTATATCTTGTCTTTTGTTCAGTAAGAAACAGGAAGATATGTAGATGTTTATTTTAATTCATTGTAGGCATTGATATTCTATAAATCTATTACTCTCCCAATTTTATGCAACAAATTTCATTATTTTCTTTCTAGAACGCAACATTCATTACAATATGTCCTCTTTTAATGAGTCTGTCGGCCTGGGCTATTTGAAAACACATGCAATTGAGTTTGTGAAGTATCCTTGCCCAGAGAGAACTGTAATGGGGGTGTTTTGTCATTCCAGCTGGGGAGCCAACTCAGTGGCAAAACAATGCACAGTCTTGTAATAAAGAACGGGATGGTCATTGTCTATGGCAAATGTCTTGTGAGTTAAAACATTGCAAGAACTCATAAAGATGTGTGTAAACGATTGTTGTGCCTATATGTTGCTTGGCTGTTCCATTTTCCTTAACAAATAACACAGCTATAATAAACGGCAAATGAGTCGGATATATCCAAAGGGAGGCAGAGTAGATTCCAGCAATTACATGCCTCAAATTTTCTGGAACGCTGGATGCCAGATGGTCTCGCTCAACTATCAGACCCCAGGTAGGCAGACATGTCCATTGAATCTGAATTTGAAAAAAAAAGGCAGCTTGGGCAGAAACTCTTTACCAGATGCCGTTGCTTTTGCCCCTGGCATTCTTGGAGGATTCAGTCACATGGATAAAGACAAAGATGTGTGTCAGAGCAGGCTGACACTGAGATGCAAAACAGTACAAAACATAGTGCAGAAGTTTCTGCATAGCAGTTCACATTGCAGGACCAATCGAGGTGATGGCAGGGATCCCAGCTGTAACCTAGATGATACATATATGGAATCAAAAATCTTAAAAGAAGTCAGTTCCCTGGAACAATTGGTGTGCATCTCTTCTAAATGGAAACATTGGACAGGAGGACAAAACCAGGAGGGCAAGATGAAAAGCATAATGCTGTTTAGTTAGGCATTGTTTATTTGGAGCACAAAGAGCTGCTGCTGGCAAATCTTGGCTTTTGGCTGTAGTTGTTGGAGTATTCTGTAATGGTGGTGACAGACAATCAGACATGGCGCTCAAGTGCTCTCTGCAAAGCAGTGGAATTCAGACAAAGATACGCATGTTTGACCAAATGTTGCTTATGACTGTTGTAGGTGTCTTTCATGTCGATGCCACTGAAGAATGCTCCACTGTGGTTCTGTTCCACCCAGACTTTGCACACATGCCACATTTCAAAGCAACTTACTAGAATTAGCTTGAATCCTTTTGGAATCAGTCATTTGAGTGTCGGCAGACTTCCTCTCGCACTCAGCCCAGTCCTGCAAAGCAAACTGAGCTCAAACCTGTAACACTCACAGATCCCCAGGTGCTCAACCAACAGTAGAGGGGCACTGTGGGTGGGGGCACCCGGCACCATTCCCTTCTGTGCCACCTGCTGCTGCCTGGAGAGGGGAAGAGGGGTGCTGCCAGAGGGCGCTCCAGCCCCATTCCCAGCAACCAGCCTTCTTCCTTGCTTGTGCAGTGCACGGGGCTCGATTCCTAGTAAGCGCCCTGCAAATAAATGCAGGGTGTGCTTGCCAAGATCTCACATTCTGGGCTGCTACAGAGTCCAAGGAGTCAAGCCCAGGGAATTTGATGGATTCCCGCCCTCAGACAGATCCCTCGCACATCCTTGTTACTTAACATAGAAACATAGAAGGGGCCTCCTGGACCATCTAGTCTGACCTCTGGCACCAGCCGGCTCGGCTCACGACATGCCCACCACGTGCACGTCCAGCCTATCCTTGATCACCCGCACCGATGGGGCCTCAACGACCTCTCGTGGAAGCCCATTCCACACCCTCGGGGTCCTGACTGTCAGGAAGTGCTTCCTGGCATCCACATGGAACCTTGGCTCCCTGAGCTTTGCTCCATTGGAGGGCGTCCTGCCTTCCTCTGCAGGGGAGAACAGGTCTCTACCCATCTCCATGTGACACCCCCTCACGTACCTGTATGTCGCCAACAGATCCCTCTGGGTCTCCTCTTCTCGAGGCTGAAGAGACCCAGTTCCCGCAGTCTCGCCTCATACGGCATCCCCTGCAAACCAGCACCGCATGGTAGGCCAAGTTGAGGCAGTCACTGTGCCAGCCAGTGACACCTAGTGTTGGATGCCTGGGTGTTGCTAGCTTCATACTGTCAAGGTAGACCACTGCTGAGTGGCTAACAGTGCCTAACAGAGACCACAGATCTAGGTCATGCTGGATATCTTAATTAGACAGGTGGATAAGAGGCAATGGGACAATTCTGTTTTGCCTTCCACTCATGCAAACTTTGAATCCAACACTACTAGAATCAAATCAAACCTCCTGCTTTGAGATAGAAGAATCACCAAAGCAGAACCTGCTCCATGTGCTCCATCATTGTCCTGACAAGTGTCAGAATATGGTAGAATATGAAAATCTATCGCAAACCTATGTGGTTTTGAAATGCAGGATTAACTTCAGTAGGTTTCAGCATTCTCTGGCTTCAGAACAGGTCATTTCACTGCACACACTGGACTTGAGTTTCAGCTAAACTGGCTATCTGGGGCAAATGATTTCCCTAGGATTAAAAAGTCTGTTCAGCCTCAGCTGTGCATTGCTTAGGAGCAAAATACTAAACTATTTTTGTCTCTTGACAGATTTAGCAATGCAGTTGAATCAGGGGAAATTTGAATATAATGGGTCATGCGGGTGAGTAATGATACAAGCTACTGCCATTGGAAGCATGTCACTTTTAATTATGTGCTGAAAATGAAGAGCAGGATGTAGAGACTAGATTCTGTTATTTAATTTTGTGAAATGAGCTGAGTGACCTGGGCATCCTTAGCCTTGTGCCTTGTGAGGAGGAAGTAGTAGGACCACGTTCGATAAATACAAGGAAAGGCATGAAGTCTGCACAGAAAGGAGTTTCATTCAGATTAAAGGTGATCCTGAGTGGATCAACAAACAACCTTAGGCCAGAAGCTTTAAATATTGGTCCAGTAGACTTGTGGAGTACTTTCCTTAAAATAGGCACCAGATCTGAGATTTCAAACAGGGCTGCATAAATATTTGTACTTCTTAAGGCCACTGAGGCTGACAGCTCAACAGTAAGTGAAGCCGTGTATCCACTCCAGGTTATTTAAATAGCTGACCAGGGTGCCTGAACCTAGCCCATGTGTAGGACCATGGATAGCTCAGTCCATGTTTGGACTAAAACCTGGAGTGGCCACACTGGCACCTGAAATTGAAGCCGTCAGCTCAGGAACACATTCTGCATGGCGCATCAGTCATGTTTGTTCATGTGAGGCTGGAGAAGGTTGCACTGTAGCACCAACAGGGAAGTAGAGGTGACAAAATGGGATCTTTCTCCCTGTATCTTCCAGGATCTCTTCCCCAAGTACTTTTCTTCTAATTGCCTTTTTTCCAGAATCAGAACTAGGCTGGGGAAGGGGGGGAAGCTGGGGTGATGGACTGCATAAGACAGAGAAGGCTTCCCCTCCCCTTCCCCCTAAACCCCTTTTGATGTTATACATTAAACTTTTCACTTCCAGTTTTGTGCTCAGATGGGGCAGATGCCAAATGAAGCTGCCCCTGTTTGCCCACCGAGTTCTCCTCAGAAACCAAGAATATTCTTGGTCCACTCCTTCCTTCTCCCACCCATACACACAGATCTTTTGGTGTAGATGAGATAGGTGGTTTGGGGAATACTTGTAATGGGAACAATAAAATTATTGCAGTCCATTTTGGCTAGTGCTAGCTTTTATACTCTTCATATGAATGGTTTGTTGCAGACTGGGAATAACTTTTCTTCAGGTTCTTTGAGCTCTGGAGCAGGTGGGAGGTTTCATCAAGGGGGATATCCTTTGTAAAAGATGCCTCAAGCCTTTCTTTCATCCAGGTATCTGATTCTCTACCCAACCAGCACAGAACAATCTCTCTCTCTCTCTCTCTCTCTCACACACACACACACACACGCTCACTCACGTATGCACACGCAGATTCCCTTTTATCTTCTTTTTTTGTCCTTCCTTGTATTCATGCTTATCTGAATGATAATAGAATTCTGGATTTTCAGTAACAATGCAGGAAACTCATTTTATTGATGAGATGTTTGGAAGAGATGGGAGAATGTTCAGCCTGGAAAGCTGTCCTTTTAACATGGTCACCAACCCAGAAACATCTTGGAATGATTGGTCTGGCATGGAGTTGCTATCACAACTCTGTATAGCCCCAGATGTTCCTATTATATCTCCTAATTCAAGTCACATTAGAGTGATAAATATGGCACAGATGATTAAAAGAACCTTTTGTGGATCCCTCTTTGCATTAGGGTCAGACTGTAATCAATGGTCAATTGCATTAAGTTTTTCCTGGATGTTTTCATTTTCTTTTCATTTCAGTAGCCAACAACTCAGGGACTTCTTAATGTAAAAGAGAGCACATATGCACACAGGTCTTCATTGGGCCAACCCTTTATGCATTCAGCTTATGCACCAGTTATGTGTATGTGACTTGTGTGAAGTCAGGTCCAAGGAAAAATACACCTGAAGGAATACTGGCTTGGATTTTTGTTGCATGACATACACATTTCAGATAGATGGCGGAGTTGATACTGGACTGCTCTCTCAGCATCAGAAAAGGGCTTGACTCATTTCTGAGCCAACCCAAATTCAAAACTCCACAGCCAAGTGACACCTTCGTCTAGTCCAGGGAGGCTCAGGGTCTCTCTGCTGGGGTTGCATTTACAAAGGGAGGAAACTTGCACCTCCACCCCCAAAACTGCTAGTGGGAGACCCATGCCTGCCCCTCTCAGGTCCCTTGTGGCAAGAGGGAGGACTGCAATCTGAGCAAGGAGAAGCATCCAGAGGTGGATGGTGCTGCCTTTCTCACCAACATCTCTTAACGGCAACCCCCATTTTTGAATGCAGTGGTGAGACAGGACTGTGGCTGTACCGGTGGCTGCCACAAATGCTTCTTCCACTTTTGGTCTCTCTGAAGCATACAATTATACATAGGAATGTCTGTGACATCATTCTGTCATGAAAGAGCAGATTGCAGACAAGTTACTAGTAGCTTCTCTTTCCCTTATGCATGTGTGCACACGCTCCAGCATGTCAGTATCAATGTGCATTGTTCCTGTGTGGACATGACCAGCTGATGTTGATCTGTGTTGGCTTTGGAGTTTTTGAAAGGGATTTTCCATGCCATGGGGAAAAAGATAAGCGGACCATAAGGCAATAAACTGTGCAAAGTTTGAGGGGCATGATCTCCTTCATTAAGATTCTTTGCACTGCTGTATTAAGCAGAGTTTGCATTCAGTACTTAACTGGCAATTGTCTGATATTTAGATGACCTTCCATGAACTGTCAGAAGCTGCAGAAAAGTTGTTTGGAAAAGGTGTTTGCAACTGTTCTGTTAGAGTTTACTAGAACAGCCAGTTTTAAACTGTGTTTATGGAACTGGCTTGTTTTAGTAAACTGTAGTAAAGTTAACTACCCTTAAGGCTTAGGACAGAATGCTAAACTGTTAATCAAAAAAGCAAATCGAGCACTGAGTGGACAATTGGATCTGATGATTCTCTGGCCCCTTCTAACACGATTCTCTGATTCTCCTCGTCATACTGGAGTGGGAGAGAGGAGGATTCTCACTGATGTCTTTGCAATACTAAACAATGGTTTACAGTTACATGTGGGTGCAGGCACAGAGTTAAGACTGAGTCTACACAGTGGAGTATGACTTTAGTGAGGATCTTTGAAATAGTTGTATGCTATTGCCATGAAGCTGTTTGCTCTGCTGATCCCTCCATGCATTGATGCAACATTCCAGCTCTACCTCCCAGTTCAGTCTTTTCAGCTGTAGATGCTTTAGAGTACCACTCCATGAGTGGTGCCCTCAACATTCATAACCACCCAAATTTGGAGGCTTATGAGCCGTCCGGGCAGGGCAGAAGGGATGGTGGCAGTGATGTTCAGCTCCTCATCCTCCATCCTGCATTTTTTGCTACGTGAGCTTTTCTGCCCATCAACCAGGGCGTATCAGAAAGGGAAGGGAGAAGACCTAAGACGCTGCTGGATAACGTATCCTGCCCTCTCTAGTCACCTGCCCTCTCCGCCCATTGAAACACCCCCCTTTCCCTGGTGCAGAGTTCCAGTTCCCCATTCCATGGTTGCAGCACTGTCTCTGCCCTCAGATCAGAGAACCCGTAGCATCCAAGGGTCCAGGTTTGTAGAACTGCCCTCTTGGCCTATTTTGCCAGTCTCAAAGGAAACTGTCTTAAGAGTTAACTTAGACTGATAATGGTTGTATCTGAACTGATTTCCAATTTATGTCTTTTTAAAAGCATTTTCCAGTTTATTTTTGCAATGGATTGTATGCTCTGTGCACAACTTTCACAAAATGAAGTGTAGGGAGAAAGGATGCTATTTTATTACATGCTGCTGCTGTCTCAGTAATGTTATTATTTCTGAAGTTATGATTATTATTTTTAGTATTTTAAAGACAACCCACCTCACGATCCTCCCTCAATATTTCCCACCTAAGTCATCGTCAGGTCAACCTCCAGAGTAATCTACGCAGATCAAAACAAAACTAAAAGCAATAAGTTATAATAATTAAAATTTAAAGAAATGCCAAACTATTGGGGCAGCAGTTGGAGGGGAGGAAAAAAACACAAAGCGTCAGCAAGAAAAGTTCAGGCATAAAATCAGTGATAGTCATATTTAGATGCATCATCCAACCCCTCTGGTACAGGGTGCAATGTACCAGGCTTCTCCAACCTGGTGCACTCCAGATATTTTGGACTACAACACCCAGCAGCTTCAGCCAGAATGGTGATTGATCAGGGATGATATGAAATGCAGTCCATGCATCTGGAGGACAATACCCAAATAAACAGTTTCAGAGGTACCATAGTGCATTCAGCTTCTCGGTCAATGCAGACATCCCTCAAATACACTCATATAAATTGGATGGTTGGGAGGAAAGCCCCCACCAAAACTGAAAGTATTTAAATCAAAGTACATAACACTAGGAATTATGAAATCTATAAGAAAGGAGGGAGGCAAGCTGCTCCTTAAAATAAAAAAGGCTCTAGACCTTATAATTTGGATTTTATAATGTGTGAACTTACCTTTCCACTCAGTCTCATGAGTTTTGGTTTACCAATATAGACAACTATCTAGTGGAATGTATGGACACCAATGCTGACCCTGCCAAAGACAGCATGGTAGCCCAAACAGGCGTGCCATTTGTGGTCATAACTGTATTGGGGCGGTCGCAGGCTAGAAAACTGTCCCACGTGGTTAGCTGGTTAGCTGCATTGGCTCAGTTTTCCAGGTAAAATCGGTGCTGATAATATCTAGAAGAGTATCTCACAAACAAGAGGATACAGGCCTCTGGGTCCAGGCTAAGGAAAGAAATGTCTGAAATGATTAGCAGATGATGTAAGCAACTTGTCCTGATCACTGTGGTTTTATTTTTCTTGCTTTGATGGATAAAATGCACAATTCTGTTCACCCTGAAATTATGTTTCTAAAATGAAAATTCTGCAGTGTATTCTTTTCTATTTATTTCACTTTCTCGATAGATTACCCAAACTAGCTAAAACCAGGAAAAACCAAAAACATTACAAAAACTAAACTACTCTGAAACAATGAAAAAACCAGGCTGACGCTTTGCTGTTTGTTTGTTTGGGGGTTTTTTTTAGGTATCTTCTTAAACCAGATTTCATGCGGAGACCTGACCGAACGTTTGACCCTTTCTCTGAAACACCTGTAGATGGTGTGATTGCAGCAACGTGTTCAGTTCAGGTAGGAAACAGGTGCAGAATAACCCAGCCTGGGACTGCCTGCATTGGCTAAAACTGAAGTATGCGACTTAACAACATGTGTATGAAGCTGCCTTAAATGAACAAGGAAGGGTTATAGCCCTTTGGTGAGGCAAAAACCTGGCCTGCAAAAGATCCCAGGTCCAATTCATGCTATCCCCAGATAAAGAGATTTCCGAAAACCATTTGAAGACTTCCAAGAACTACTCAGAGACCTTTGGAGGGTGCTGAGACCAAAGATGTGATCCTAGGCAAACTCTTGACAGTGAAAAGACTTCTTATCCCCAGCATGTTCCCAGCTGCCTGGGGCAAACTGGAAATTGTAGGCCTTTTTCTGCCTAAACTTGCATAGAACTGCACCCTCAGTGATGGGCAAATCTGCTCTGCTTCTGTGACCTTCTATTTCCTGCAATCAGGTCCATTCCTTGCAGGCTTTGCTATGGAAATTAATTTGCATAATAGAACTTAATTAAGATCCTAGTGTACAAATCATTTGAGATTTTATTTTACAAGAGTGGCACCTGGAATTAGGCCTTTATGTCTATACTGTGCATTTACTGCATAGAGCCTGTGCATTCAATGAACCATTTCCCTCTGAGGGGGGAGTTGCCACAAACTTCAGTCTGGACAGTAGACAATCACCAGTGCACATGGCAGAGTTCAGCCTTATAGTTTAAAAGGTTCTATCTACAATCACGTACTCCAAGGAAAACAGAACTCAGTGCCAATGGAGTTTGTGAATAACTCTCCAGGCTTTCATTGCAATCGGAATTGTAATTAGAATAAATTATCTAATAATGCCCTTGTATTTTCCTGGAAGAAAGTAAGGTATATAATTATCCTGTGTAGAAACAGTTCCACTGTGGACAGAATATGTTCTGGCTTCAGCAAAGCTTTAGACCTCATCTCCCATGATCTCCTGATTAGCAAACTAGCTAAAAGTGGGCAAATGGTACAATGATCAGGTGGATCCACAGTTGGTTACAGTATTGGACTCAAAGAGTGCTCATCCATGGCACCTTCTTGAATTAGGGTGAGGTAATGGGGAACCACAGGGTTCAGTCCTGGGCCCAGTGCTCTGAACATTTTAATAATGATTTGGGTGAAAAGGCGCAGAGAATGCTTGCAGATGACCTTAAATTGGGTGGGAGTGCTAATACCACAGGAGAGAGAAACAATATTCAGAGTGATCTCAAGAGATGTGTTAGCATTCTTCAAGTACTTGAAAGGCTGTCCCAAGGCGGAGGGCCTGCATCCAAGAGTGCAAGACATGGAATAATGGGCTCAGGCTGTATTCCGGCTGGACATTCAGGAAAAACTTCCTGATTGTTAGACCAATATGATAATGGAGCCAATTACCTAAGAAGGTCATGGGCTTTCTCACATGGGAGGCGTTCAAAATACAGCCAGCCAGCCATCTGTTAGAGACATTTTAACTTGGGCTCCTGTGCTGAGCACAGCATTGGACCCAGTAGCATTATTGCCCCTTCCAGCTCTATTATTCTGTGATACTTTGTACACTGGAGCTTGTTGCTGGGTTGGCATGTTTGGGATTGCAGCCTTAGCACTGGAGACAATGCTATTCATCAGCAGAATGGAAACCACTACTGGAACCGATTCCTCCTCCCACAGAACCTGTGGACCCCCCCCCCCCCCAATTCTGCCATTCAGGCTTGGAGGACCTTCTGGATCCCTTGCAGAGGGCTGCAAAGAGGAGAAGACAGGGAGCTCCTGTGCCAGCAGAAATCCACCCATGCAATGCTGGATCCAGTCCATCATTTCCTACTCTCCTAACCCATTTATTTCTTTGTTTGTTTTGGTGGTAGTTTGGAATTTCTGGCTCTCCCTAGTAGACTTCAAAGTAAATATCTCCTCACCCAATAAGCATGTGCAAACACACATACAGGCACAGCAGATGAAAGAATTGCAAAATAACATGGTCAAATGGTGATTTTTGACTCAAATGCGTAACAAATTTTACACTACATAAAAATAAAGGCATGCTGTGAATATTTGTTCTACATTGCTGGCTTTAATCATATAGCATATTTACTAAATAACACTTTGCACAAATGCTTCCATTAAAAAGTTTACATATCAGTAAATCCATTTATTTGAATGAAGCATTTGTGGAGGTGTAGATAAGCACAGAAGACTTGAAACTAAAGACTGAATATCCAACTGACATATCGCTAATTGTTATGCTTCCATTAAAAGGTAATATCTGGCCAGTTTTTATCAGACAAAAAAATTGGAACATATGTAGAAGTGGATATGTATGGCCTTCCCACTGACACCATACGTAAAGAATTTCGAACACGGATGGTGATGAACAATGGTTTGAATCCTGTTTACAATGAAGAAGCATTCGTATTCCGAAAGGTATGGTACATTTCAGAAATACACGGATGCTTTGCAAGCTTTGACTTGGCATCACTTCAATGCACTCATGTTCCCAGACGAGGAGGGATCTAGAAGGAGAAAGTCCTCCTCGTGCGTTCTCTTCCTATATGGCTGCACTGCAGAATGCTTTTTGTCATGGGTCAAGGCTGATTTAATCGTAGGGTTTTTAGAAGGGAAAAAAGGAAAAACAGCAAACTTCTTGTAGCTATCACGTGATTTTTATTTTTCTGTTTGGCTTTTCCCTCCTCTTGCTTCTCTCTCCTCCTCCTCCGTCTCGGAGGAACCCATCTCGTTCGTGGCTATGCCTGTGTTTCAGGTATGCAGTCTGCTCAGAACGAGCTCCAGCTGGTGGACCGCTACCTTCCTTGGAGAACACAACTTCTTCCCTGCCCTGGCAGTGGCTGCTATCTTGCCCTGTTCCTTCAGCCAAGAGGGCAGGTGAGATGCTGCATCCAAAGCTAAGGTCAATGTCACTCCATGGATTTGGTCAGGAGGGCACTGCCCCACGTGTGAGGTCGGCCCCTCGTCCTGTGTGCGTCATGTGCATTTTTTTTCTCTCCTCCACCCAGGCTGTTCTCAGACACTGTTTGGTAAAGCATTTCGAAAGGTTGCTCCTTGGGCATGAGTTTACACGTGTCATTTTACAAAACTTTCTCCTCCTGATGGCAGAAAACTGCTGCCTTTTTCAGGATAAACTGCTACTTCATGTGTCCCTTACCTGTTTTAAATACGAAGCAGATGGTAGGGGTGGTAGAGCAATCTATACGAAGGGTGTGTTGGTGCCATTTCTTAATATCCCCCCTCCTGTCAACTTCCTGCAAGTGGGAGTCATCAGGGAAAAGTTTCCTAGCCCAGCCCCTTCTCACTGTTTTGGTAATTTTCTGCTTTCAGGGGATTTTACACATAAGGAGACCTTTGAAGAAGCTATTCTCCAGCTGCAGACTTGAAATGGCACAGGCCAGTTCTGCAAGTGGTAGCACTTCAGGATTCTACCACCACATTCCCATTGTGGGGCATGGGGGACCTCCCCTATGTCACCATCTGTACAGATAGATTTGTCTGACTCTGAGGAAAAGGTGGAAGGGCAGAGGTGGGCAGAGGGCTTGGCAGTTTCAAGGTTCCTTGGAGAAGATTTTCAGGCAGAGCAGGAGAACTAGCCTGCCTTGGAAAAAGAGGGAGTCATTTCAGAGCTAAAACAGGGAGACATTTCAGAGCTGGCAGGGGAAGTGATGGAGATGGGGTCCCTTGACCCATTCAGGAGATGAATGAAATTCATTCAGGAGATGAATGAAATTCGGGAGATGAATGAATGAATGACCCATTCAGGAGATGAGCAGACCCATTAAGAAGTGTCCAGGATTTCCACAAGAGCTACCCTGAGAGTGGAGCCAGGAGCTTTTCTGAAAGGGAAGGAAGGAGGGGAAGTTTCCATTTGGGTTCAGCCCCTCACATGGGTAGTTCCTTCTCCCCACATCTCATGGAGAACGCTCCTCTCATTTGATAGCGTTCGATAACCAGTTAAGTTGTGATGAAGGAACTGAGCTTCTCAAGTTTCATCTGAGACTGCTGAAGTGGGAAGGAGGGAGGAAGAGGCCTGCATGCGACACCCACCTTGTTGCGAAGAAGACCCTGTTTCATGAAAGGCCAGGCTCAGGCTTGAGCTCCACCATGCCAGGCACTTCTATGCCATCTTTAGGCATAAAAGCACTGCAGAAAGATTTGCCAAAACTGCATGTGTAAATTCACCCTCAGTTGTAATCCACAGCGTCTATGATTCTTCAATCTCCCATTGTACTTTTAGTTTTTCTGTCCACTGGAGTTGCATCCGAAGTATGTGCGTTAGTGGTGGTGTCTTTGACAGTGTCTCTTATCTTTCACTTTTTCTGTTGTCTAGAACGCAGAACGCTTACCTGCTTTTTTCCCCTTGAGTGATGGGTCTTTTGGGCTAGCAGCCATGCCCTTTTTAATCGCCACTGCAGGATAATGTCAAATACAAAAATTCCACGGAGCTTGGCACAAGTTTGATATGGCTGATATTTGGTCTAGCACTAGTTGGGAAGACAATTGAAACCGATCTCAGCACCAGAGCCTGCTAGTGAGCAAAGAACCTTAATAATCCATGAGGCGGTAGGTTTAGGGTTCATCAGAGCCTCTCAGTATAAGCACAAACCTCATGCAAACTATTAGCAGGTAATGTGTGAGTTGTGTTTTCTTGTCCTCCTGTTCAAAAATACAAACGAAACAGCCACTGTTATATGTTATCATTCCACTGTAAAATATTGGTAAGCTGTGATATGATCTTTTTAATGGTTGGTCTCACCGTACTCAACCATGCATGCTACTTTGGGTGTTGCTGAATAAATCAATGATTGCAAAACCAATAAATAAATGGAGCCCTGGGATGCTGCAATGGTTCAACCAATAGCCTGGCTTTCCACAGCTTGCCATTGCACAGTGTCCTTGGTGGGTAGCTGGGTGAAGGGAACACCTGGCCCTATTGTATGGCATCTTAGCCTGAGGGTGGTCCTCGTCCATCAGTGTCCCCCCAGAACCTTTATTATTTATGGAAATGATGGTTAGCCCAGCTGTCAGGGCGTTTTGCATTTACTATGTATTAGTTTTCCCTTTGCTAGGCACCTTGAAGGCCTGTTGTCTGGGGGAAAAAAGACACAAATATTAACACTAATAAAATCCCATTGAATTGTGGTTAGCAGGTTGCTTTCTTTCTGGACCTGTTTTGCACCTGCTGCTGGTGAATGAGCCCATATTTTGAGGTTGGTGATGCTTGTCCATGCAACGGTGCCAGCAGTCAGGTCCATGTTTTGATAGAACATCACCATTCCTGATCTACCTCTGCAGGGAAACTCTTCTGGCTGAGCTTTCATATCCCTTTGATAGAATGTTAATTAAGATCTGGGACAATTGTCCATTTTTGTTCTTTGGAATCGGTTCTGCATATGAGTAATGTGTCTAGCAGTGGAACCATTACTCGAGAGGAAGAGTACCAACTTGTTCTCAGCTTCCACTACAATTTGAGAAGCCGAGGAACTGGCTACCATTTAGTTTCTCCACCCCTTCACAACTGCCACGGATGAGATTGAGGAAGGTGAAACATATAACCTTGATGGTTTCTTTTTGTAAAGGCACACACAGCCCTCATGGTAGAGCATTTCTGGCTGCAAGTGTGGATGAAGATCTGTTTCATCCAGAAGAGATTGTATCTCCTCCCACTGTTGCAGAAAGGGAAAAGGGACATGGGGAGAACCCTGCATTTTTGTTTTGGTGGCAAGGCCCTATCTGAAAGTAGGAGTCCTGTTTTGTTTTCCTTCATGGAGGAAAAACGATTCAAATCCAACTTAGCAAGGTGGCTCTTAAGATGTGGATTTTTGAGGTCATAAGAGAGGCCTGCCCAACAAAAGGGGTCGTCTAAGATCCCATTAGGGTAACCAGCACCTTGGCAGCCTTTCAGGCCAATGAAAGAGAGTCTGAGGAATTACAAAACTTATTGCTATACCTCTGCAGAAGCAGTCTGCGGTGGGAAGGGACTAAGAAAAAGGTGCTGGAGTCTCCCACCTCAGATGGTAGTGCTCTTGAACGTCCCACGGTAAATTGCTTTTTCCTTTCAACCAAGAGGACAAAAATGGACTTAGATGGAATGATGTTTCTTTCTTGGGTAAGCAGTTTGCCCTGCCTGAGTTCTTGGGCTGAGATAGTTGGAATGGCTGCCCCTATGAGGAGCTCAGTATTTTTTAGGTTTGATGTACATATTCAAGGAGATGGTGAGATTGTCTCTTTCCTTATTTCTCTTTCTGGGGGGCAGCGGTGGTGAATGGTAGTTCTTTCTGCAGCAGTGTCAGGAGACTTATCTCAAAACACACTCCTTTCTCTCCACTTTCAAAAAAGTAATTTCACGGTAAGTCTACTTGTTCATTTTACCAGATTATGATAGTTGGAAACATGATCTCTTTCTGGTATTTCATTCCTGCAGGCTTGTTTTGCCTTATGTATTGATGAATGAGAAAGAGAGAAATGCTTTCATCCCTCAAGGGTTGTGTTGGTAGGATTGTCTCTATTCCAAGCAAATTGCACAGCTGAAGAACACAGACATGCGTAGTGGAGTTGGAACCATCTCAGAAAAGATAACACACTGCAACTGTAGAGTGCTGTAAATGCAGTGCTGGGCAGTATTGGTGATATTTCAATATTACATGGCCACATTAAGCCATACACCTCTGCGATCCCACATCTCTTTTCAAAGCCAAAACATTTCATTGATAATTATCTTCTGTTTTTCTTTCCCCAAATTTCCTTACTCTCCAATTTTAGAATAAATGTCAACATCACTAAAATCTAGAAAGATTTTCGATGAGCGATTTTAATAGTTATTCCTCACAATCCACAGAACCTCAAAATATTTTTCTGAAATGGGGCCTTATATTACTATACTTGTCAACACTTCTCTGGCCTGATGCTGTTAGGACTTAGCCATGCCACGAATCCTGACTCCTTCAAAGATGGCAATGAGAAAACGTGCCATGTTGTGAATATCCATAACCAGCTTTGTTCTTTGGTGTCTTAGGTTATTCTACCAGACCTTGCAGTCCTGAGAATAGCCGTTTATGATGACAACAACAAACTGATCGGCCAAAGGATATTGCCTCTAGATGGTCTACAGGCAGGTTACAGACACATTTCCCTTCGAAATGAAGGCAACAAACCATTATCGCTGCCAACAGTCTTCTGCAACATTGTCCTCAAAACATATGTGCCTGATGGGTTTGGAGGTAAACCTTAGAACTGCTGCCATTAATTCTGAAGCTTTGAGTAAGCAAGATACTTTCAGACCCATAATCCTAAGGATGGAAAACTTCTAAACATTTCTTAGGCCTAAATAGAACAATAACTGCAAGTTACAGTATATATTTAAATCCCGTTGACATCAATGAGAACATTTAGTCATGGCTAACTTAAGTTATTGCCTTAATACGGATTGTGGTTTTATGACCAACACCTATGTTTTTGAGCTAGCATGGATTGTATGTAGATAGAGAGAAGCAGGCTTGCTTGATCTTCAATGGCTGGAGTTACCTGGAGTTACCTAAGGACCTTAGTCCCTACCCTATTGGTGGCTTCAAATACATCTCTTTATTTTCCACTGTGAAACTTGATGTCTTCCATTGACTAGAATAGGGAAAATGAAGCATTCCATCTAGGGACAAAGTTGGAATTAAGGCAAAGCCAGAAACTTGATATGGGATGGGGAGCTATGTCTCTCTCCTCCTGAAGGCTTATTTGGGGTTAGTATATTTCCAGCTCATGCTTTCCCCGTACCATTTGCAATAGAGACTAAAGGAACTGGGAGTAGAAGAAATGCAGAGCCAACCCAAGCTAGCCAACCACCCCAAACATTCCTTACCTCCTTTCTTCTGAGGATCTTTGGACTGCAGTCAGTTTAAAGCAATAGCAGTTTTGTATAACAGCTGGCTGGGACTGATGGGCCGTTTCCAACACATCTGGAAGGAATCAAGCTAGGGGAGACTGCATTACAGCAATGGCCCTGGTGGTGGACCAGTGAGAGACTGTTCCACTTCTGCCTTCTTGCCACTTAGTGGATCATCAAAGCAACTGTAGCAAGCAAAAGAGAAGAGTAGGCTCAGATGGGGTAGTTTGCTATGGGAGTGCGGTGTTGTGTGCACATGAGTGTGCTTGGGAATGGCATGGCTCATACTTTGCATTCCTCGGCCATCCATCAAACCTGACTCGTTTTTATCTTTATCTGTATAATTTTGTACATGGAGGAACAAGTTTTTTCCCAAAACATCATGTGGGATGTATTTGGGCTGCAGTTCCTAGAAGGCAGGATGTGTGTGTGTGTGTGTGTGTGTGTGTGTGTGCGCATGCACATGTGCGTGTGTGCATCTGTCTAGCTACATAATGTGCAACCAGATTTCATGCCAACTTCCACCCCTGAGAACATTATTCCTTTCTAGTTTAAAGACAAACTGTTTAAAGACAACATACCCATTGTCAGAACCACTGCAGTAGCAACTTTGCCAGAAGCTCCAGTTATGCATATGGTAGAGAGAGGTGGACATGCTCCATCCTTGAAGAGTGCCCCTCCACACAGGAAGAAGGCAGTGCCCAGTTGATTCTTCCTATGGAAGGGCTCCCAGGCACCCTCCCAGTGCTGGACATACCTCACTTTAGGGAAGCGGGGTTCTGTTCCATTTCTGCAGAACCCAATGAACTGATAAGCTTGGTATATTTTTCTTCCTCCCTCCCTCCCTCCCTGCCCTGCTGCTCTGTCCTAGTTTGACCCCATTATGGGCCATCACCAATTTTAAATGTACCGCAGCTTCCCACATTATTAGTCCATGATGAGAAGGTGGGCACTGTCTGACGGAATCAAGTGTAGAGGCTTTGTAGAAATTTTATGACATATTTTGAAGGGATGTGAAGTCGTCTGTAGCTTGACAAGTTACCCTTTTTAAATTTCCTTTAGACATTGTGGATGCCTTGTCAGATCCAAAGAAATTTTTATCCGTTATGGAAAAAAGAGCAGACCAGATGAGAGCAATGGGGATTGAAACCGTAAGTGCAAAAGAACTGTGGATATGAACATGATTTGCATTTTTGCTTAAAGCATCTTGGAGTAGAAGATTGAAAAGAGGAGGGCAGCTGAGAAGATTGGCCATCTTTTTCTTTTTGATAACTCGAGGTAGGGTCGAACATGACTGCTTTTTGACATGGGTTGACGTTATCCGTTGCATTAGAGTGATGCACGTCTGAATATATTTTGCTGATTGAGAAGCAGTGGCATTAGCTCAGAGAACTTTGGCGGTTGGGTGGTATAGAAACTTAATAAAGTGAAAGTATAGGTCATTTGTGGATCATTGGCTACCTTTCATTTTGAGCAGACACCTCTTAGTTACAGCAATAAGTTGACCAAGTGGGAACTACCATAATTTTTTGTAAATATCTATTTGTTGCTTCTTCCCTCTTCCAGGATACATCATTCCTTCCACGTTCCCATGATATATTATGCCCCTTCCCCTACAGGAGTCAGAGATCCATACTCACTGGGCATGTTTGGCTCTCACTGGGCTGTTAGGATCTCTCCCTCTCTTTCTCTCTCTGTGCATTGTGTGCGCACACAAAACATTGGAGCACAGTTATTTGAAATGGTGTACTTTCTTAGTGGGGGATACTTGAACGGGGGCAGCGAGAAGATCATCTAAAGGTCATCGATGCATTGGTATCGACAGTGGTTTATTTCTCCATGTCTCAAATGCCATCCAAGTGATGCCAAGCCATTAAGAATCCTAGTTTGTGTGCTAGAGGTGATCACTATATAAGGATGCCCGAATGCCTTTGCGTAGCATTAATCATGTGAGAGGAATCGCCCTGTCCTAGTTGTGCCAGTCTCTGCAGTGTCTCTGTTTCCTGCGCCTGGTAAGTGGGACACAAGTGCTGCAGTATTAGGACCCCTTAACCCAACCACCTTCATCCTGGTGCCCTCCCAATGTTTGCGAGCACAGCTTCTGGAATTCCTCACCCTTGACTAGTCTGGCTGGGGCCATTGGGAGTTGGAGCCAAAAACCTCTAGAGGGCACTTGGTTGGAGATGGCTGCCTGAGATCTTGCCTTGCACACATTCATGTACAATTCTTAGAATCTATTACCTCAGATTCTGGATTGTAGGTGGTCTTTAACCACCACTTGTTTCTTGCAGAGCGATATAGCTGATGTTCCAAATGATACTTCAAAGAATGACAAGAAGGGCAAAGCTAATAATCCCAAAGCAAATGTTACTCCTCAGACTAGCTCAGAACTTCGACCAAATGCCACTTCTGGTGTGGGACCTGGAATGGAAGCGAAGAAAGGTAAATGTGTGCACAGAAGGGCTCAGAGATTTCTGACTGTAGAAATAGGACTGATGTTCATTGTATCCCTTTTTGAAGCACAAGTGAAAAGACATTTTGCTCCCTTTGATAGTAATCAGCACACCTTTTCAGCCTATTTGGGTGACTCACTAAAACTGACTTTAAAATTGTATTAATGTGTACATTTCTATTTCTATTTTAGGTATAGATCTTATCCCTCAAATCAAGATTGAGGATTTAAAACAAATGAAGGTAGGTCAGTGCAGAAGCTTAGCAATATCTTTCTAAAATCTGGATTGACTTATTTGTGAGAGCCTAAAATAATAGTGAAATTACAATATTACATGAGGTCCATTAGAAATCCTGCGGCCTTGGTCCTCAAGAGGTGTGCCTCCCAAGGGCAGGGCTTACTGAATAATTAGCCAAGCGAGTTCTCCTTTTCTGTGGCTTCTCTTCAACCAATTTAGAATGCCAGACGACTTTCCATGGCATTTTTTGCTACTGTCTGGAGGTTTTCATTTCGCTGCCTGCAGAACCACAAGGAGACCTTAAGAAAGACTGGGAAGGCAAAGGACTGAAGAGCTATTAGAAGCAGGAAGCCTGCCTCTTTCCCTTTCTGCACCCTTCCTGCCTGTGGCATATTGTTGATTGTGTTTCACTGTGGTGTCCTAACTGGGAAATGCCAAGCGAGACAGGAGTTGCTTGAACAAGCCACGGTTGGAAGCCTGCAGGTCTCCGCTGCAAGGCTGAGGCGTTAGCCTGATGCAGAACACCATTCACTTGTCTCTGTAGCCCACCTAAGTTTTAAATGTACTGAATTTGTCACATAAGTCTGGGATGCAGCACTTTAGACTTGGAATGAAATCTGGCCCTACTGGGATTCCGACCCTTGTATCCAGGGTTTCCCAGCCACGTCTGGTGTTTTCCTGGCTTTTATGCGGGAGTGTTTCCTTACCAAAAGACTGAAGTTGTTCTCCTAAGGCTGCGAGGAAGAGCTCTAAGCAGAGGTTTGCTGGTGCTTTTGGCCTCATCCCTTTTGCCTGTAGCCATGCCCACCATTGGAACGTGGCCCCCCAGAGTGCAAAAGTAGGGTGTTGTCCCAGACTGGAAGAGATTCAGCACCCTTTATGTGATAGGAGCTCTTGGTGGATTCTAATTATTTCAGACATCTTAAAGACATGATAATCGAACTTTTTATTCTGTTTTGCTTTCTGATGGGGAGCAGGCATATATAAAGCATTTGAAAAAGCAGCAGAAAGAACTGAATGCTTTGAAGAAGAGGCATGCAAAGGTATGGTGATTTGAAAAGAAAAGAATTACCAGCAGAGAGTTTTGCATGAGTTTTCTGTTTTCAGGGATGAAAAAAGAGATAGTTATAATAAACAGCAAGATAATTAGGCAGAGCCACTGTGTCTGTGTATGGCTCCATTTTCATCTCATTCCATCAGTCATATGGCGTGCTCGTTGCCAGCTCTAGTTGGGGAAGGAAAGGTTTTAAGCAGTTGCACAACCCATGATGGCAAGGAGGAAATACAGATTTGTGCACTTGAATGAAGAACTGGTTAAGGAGCTGCTGCTATCTGGTAGAAAAATGCAGGAATGGCCAGGGGCTGGACTTGTGGCATCGTTTCCCAAGGTGTTTTTCTTTCCTTTTCCCCTTCACTCTCTCTATCAAGAGCTGTGTCAAACCTCTCTGAGACCTATGGGGCAGTCTCCTTGTTGCCACACAAGAGTTCCATGACATCACAAATGCACAGGAGAATCCAAGGGAGCTTGTACAGACCACCTGGATAAAACAAAGGAAAGAGGATTCCTGTTAGCATGGGTGCTGTAAAATTCAGAAGAGAAGCAGGGCCGGTTGGATCGGGAGAGAGCAGTGAATCAAATGCTTCCAACACGGGTGGCAACTCCCAACTCTGTCCCCAGTCTCCTTACTGAACTTTACTGTACCCACAAAACCACACCAAAACTGGAGACATTATTATATTCCCCTTTCCTCTGGGTACTATTCCTATCTCTCCTTCCTAGTGCTCTTCTATACCGGTATACTTGGGAGCAGTGGTCCAGCTGGGCATGATATGAGCCACGTGGCTCATTTCCATGTGTGGAACTTTTAAAGCTAAGTTTCAGGCCTGGGCAGTGAGGAGGGACTTGATCCAGATTGTGGGACCCCCTGCTCTGGTCCAGGTCTGGAGGGATGGGGCCCATTTGCAATTTATGTTGTTAAAGTCCTGCTTGCTAGGATTGCCTGGGCAACTCACATGATGGGTGAGCTTGCAAGACACAACAACGGGATGGTGTGCTGGGGGTTCCACTCCCTGCACGGTACATTCGTTTTTCAGAAACCATGATAAGAAGCAACAGTCCATTCTATGGTTTCCATGCTTCATCATGGTTTCTCTGGTTATCCAAAGCTGCTTTTGTGGTTTCCGTGGTGCTACCACAGAGCTCCCCATAAAGAGGGGCTGCTGCTGCAGGAGCTACTCCAGCCATCCACCCTAGGATTGAATTTCAGCATGCTGATAGCAGGCAGACTGAGCAAGGGGGGTAACAAGCATGCTAGGGTAGAAACCGCTTAATCGTCTCTCAGGCAAAACCCCTCACGGCATGGAAACTATGCAGGGTTGCTTAGTGTGACATGTGAGTCCAGCTGGAGCTAGGTCTCATTGCTTTCGGTGGAACTTACTCCAAGGTAAGCGTGTTTAGGATTGTGTTCTTGGTCTTTTTCATCTCAGGTATTTTCTCTGTTTTGAGTAGAAGGTTTCTCTGTGAATGTCTAACCTTGTCAGAACTGCATCTGTCGTTTTCTCTAAGTCTTTGCTGTCCTGCTTGTCATCAGCAAGAATATCCCCCAGTAAAGCCGACAGCATGCTGATGCTGCTCAGGTTTACTTTTCCTTTGAATCTCTCTGGAGCAGGAATGCCTGAGCTTAGCTCTCAGTGTCAGTCATAGGCACTGTGTGTGACTCATTTCCCAGTGGTGTCGTCAACTTAAATTTGGAATTTAAGTTTAAACTTTAGCATTTGAATTTCAAAGTGTTTGTATTTAAAGGGAATATGAAATTCTCCTCCAAGATTTGTAAAGGACTCTGCACAGATGAACTTGCAAGTGAAATGTTTTTGCTATCTTTCAAAGTGGTCCTAGGGGGGAAAAAAAGACCTACAATGAAATGTAGAATTAGTACCTTTCTATATTTCAGTTATATGTGTGAGTGTAATGGAAGAAATGGAGCCTAATTACCGTAGCTTGTGTCGGGATATTCGCCATCTGTGATTCCTGACTGTGTTCAGACTTGCACAGGATGCCCTCAGGTTGCCAAATGATGGCAAGATGAGAGTGGTGTAGGGGAGCGGAGGTGAGTGGGGCACAACACTGGCCTGTCTGAGCAGCACGGACTCTGGCATCATTTGCCCCCCACCTCTGAGTTCCCTGTCCCCTCTGAGCTTAACTGCAGCTCTTGCAGTAGCTAGGGAGAAAATGATTTCCTCAGCAAAAGTGTATTGTTCCGTCTTGCAATGCAAAATATTTGGGACGACTTGTGTTCAGTGGGTATTAAGGCCTCCAGGAGGAGATGCAATTGCTAGAACCAAAGGAAACACTGCAGGTATCTGTAGAACTTTCCCCAAGTGTGCCTGTGGTGGGGAGGAGTGGAGCAGCTACTTCCATTGGTGGAAGGAGGTCTGTCCCACCCTAACCCAGTCCCCTCACCCCGAACCAGTTACAACTGCTCTGTTGGTATGCTTATTTATATTGCACTGCTATCCTGCCTTTTTTCCCTCGCCTGAGGAATCCAGGGTGGTTTTCATTGGTGCATTCCTCACAACAACCCTGTGAGGTAGGTTGGTCTGAGAGAGGGTGGCTGGCCCAAAGTCACCCCATGAGCTGCATGGCTGAGTGAGGACTAAGAACCCAGATCTCCCAGGTCCCCGGTCCAGCACTCCAATCACCAAACCACACTGGCCCTGTCGATTTATTCCATCTATATTGCACCTTTGCCCCAAAGTCTCCAGGTGATGTGCAAGGTCTTTCCATCTCGAGGCCATCAGGTAGGTCATCTAAGGTTTCCCTCTGAGTTTGTAGCTGGAGTGGAAGGCTGGACTGGAGTTTCCCAGGCACTTGGTGCATTTTCTTAATAGCACAGCACTTCTCACAATCCAGGAGGACAAGGTGAGAAACAGAGGAAATGAGGGAGTGTAAAGGAGTGATGTGCAAGAAGGTCGCATTTTTTCAGTCACAGACTTCGTTAAGAGCAGCCTTCTCCAACCTTGTGCCCTCGAGACGCAGTGGGACTACCAGGTTGCGTGAGGCTGCAGCAGGGCTTGCAAGTTCGGGGGTCAAACATATGAGCAGATCCAAAGGGCTTTGTTCAGTGTCAAAACACTTTCATGGATAATTTTACAGAGAACCAGAAATGATTTTTCGGACCTTCTTATGTACAGGCTGTGACATTTGTTTGCTGCCGCATGACTCAAACGGCAGCCTGACAACCTCCATTTTCCATTGCAGGAACACTGTATTATGCAGAAGCTACACTGCACACAAGTTGACAAAATAGTAGCACAATACGACAAAGAGAAGTTAGCGTATGAGAAAACCCTCGAGAAGGCAATCAAGAAAAAGGGGTACAGTCTTCCTAAAACGAATTTTAAAATCCTTTTTGATTTGCAGCTATATCTCTTGCATTAATAAATGATTTTCCCCTATTTGTTTCTAGTTGTCCTTCAAGGAGAACCTAGTGAAATTGCATACTTCATCTATAAATTAACTTTTTTATTTCACTGGAAGTTTTTAAAAAGCAGCTTGATAAAGTCAGAAAAGGGGCTGAAATCTGAGCAGGTTTCCTGCAGAGCTGTGCTTTGGCCTAAGGGATTGTCCCCATCTTGGGTCCTCAGGTGTTGCTGGACTACAGCTCCCACCAGCCCCTGCCCACTTGGCCAGTGGCCACAGATGATGGGAAGTTCAGTTCAGCAACATCTTGAGCAGGCCAGGGGGTGGCACAGTGCTTGATGCCATTTTGCGAAGTCAAGCAGCGCTCATGGGGCTCTGCCGAATCTTTCCAAGTGGCATATTATGGCAGAATTAGTGCATTCTGAGGGGCAACCACTTGCACAACTGGTAGCACAAGCATGGTGTGCAGGTGGTTCCACAACAGGTTGCGCAAGTGTAATGCTTGCACAAGCATCACTTCAGTTGGATTCTCCCCTTGCATATAGTTTCAAGCCTAGTTCCCACTAACCTAATGTCCTTTGCACGAGCAGAACACAAGGCCCCTTCTGCCTGGGCCCAATGTCCCTGTTCCGGCAGCGGCCAGGTAGATGCTTCCAGGGATTCCACAGCAAACCAGAATGGCAACCGCCCTGCCTTCTTCCTGCTTGTGCCCAGCTGCACACAGGGGTTCCTTTCAGCCATCGGGCTCATAGCTGTTGATTAGAGCTGGCTGCCCCGTGAATCGGCCTCATCCCCTTTGAAAGTCACCCCGAGCCTTTGCCAGCTGGCCCTTCTTGTGGCAGCAAATGCCATTGGCGAATCCAGCATTGCATGAAAAGTTGTTCCCTTTGGCTCTCCTGTGCACGTGGCTAGAAGTGTGCCGGGGCTGCCTCAGGGTTGCACGTTGGCGCTTGAACAAGGGGGTTCTCTTCTGTATTGCAAATGCCATTATTATACAAATGTGTCTCCATGCAGTCAGCACACTCAAGGATTACATCACGGGGTCCCAGGCATCCGGATTCACAGATCAGCGAAAAGCACATTTCTTCAGGGGGGAAAAGATGGGGAAATAACTGCTAGCTTTTTATAGCATACGCAGGGCAGCCTTACCAGCATGGGAATGGTTGGCTTAGAGCCTTGTTGTATGAAGGCCAAGCTAGATATAACGGAAGCTGATGCCTTTCTTGGCTCATGTGTCTTCCTGGTCCTTGGTGGTCCCACAAGGATCTAGGTCCTCATTGGAGTCCACCCAGAGAGGGGTCTTCACTGTGGTGGCTCCATTTCTCTGGAACAACCTGCACTGGAAGTCAAGCAGGCATCGACGCTGTATCTTTTTTAATGCCTGGCGAAAGCACTTTTATTGCAGGAAGCCTTCTCGAATTGACCAGCCATGCCTGTATTGATTTGTTTTTAAGATACAGTTCTATTCTTTTGCCTGCTTTATTTTTTCTTGTCAATGCTTTGAAATCTCCATTTCAGAATATGAAGTGGTATGTAAAACTTGTAAAAAAAAATAGAATAAATGTGCTTCCTGTTTTATCTATAAAAAGGGGGTGGGTGAGTGAGGAGAACTCAAGCTTCTTCCATCTTACCTTTCTGTATTTTGTCACTTTGTGTACTTTTTTCCAAGCTTCAAACATAAAAAGAGGTTTATGGAGCTGTATCCTCCCTTATCTTCACCTCTTCAGGCATTCTCCCTTCAACCTTCCTCATATCCAGTATCTGGACTAGGATATATTCCGAATTTGCATTACATGTTTCGATTCTCTGCTCTTAGTTAAGGCATCATAAATACTAGACTAATCAGGCTGATTCTGCCCCTGGAGCTTTGTGTGTGCCTTGCAAAACGTCAAGCCCACAGCTGTGTCTGCAAAGCCCTCTCCTTTACCAACAACATCAATTTTTAATCCTCTCAGTAGTCCAGGGGGAACATGAGGCACATCAGGATTTCTTCAAATGTTCAGTGTGGACATCATAGCAAGGAATGTTAGAAGAGAAAGTTTTCTGAGAATGTTCATAAAACAAAACTGGATTTGATACCTAATAAATACACTGAAATTTCATTTCCCCCGGTTGGGGATGGTGCCCATAAACCATTCACACATGTTGCTGATACCATTGCTCAGAACTGCACAAACCGTTCATACCTACACCCATCCAGAAACAAGATCCCTCAATCTCTACTAGCAGGTGGAAGTGAGATGAAGGAGATGGCCACTGGCTGGAAGTGTTCTCTCCTTTCTCTGAGATGAACAAAGCACGGGCCACTCCTAATCTCACTTTCTATTGTAGCCTGAATGGTGGAACAAGCATTTTAAGAAAGAAATAAGAACAGTAAATTCCTCACCTGCTCTTTAATGTGTACTCTTAAGAAAACAAGCATATTTTTGAAAGCATCTTCTATTTCCAAAATACACGTTTTCTTAAAAGCACCTAAGGAGATAGGTTTAACTGAATGGATCTAATTGAATATACTCCATACAATGGAGACATTTTTGTGCTGTATTTAATTTCAGTTATCAGCAACAGCAACCCAGAGAAAAAGCATAATGTGACTGAAATACATTTAGTCATTTGCTTATCTTCCAGTTTTACTAACAAGTTTTAATAAGTGATCTTTGTTTGAAATTTCTCATACGTTTTGTTACAGTGGAAATAATTGCCTTGAGATGAAAAAGGAAATAGAAAACAAAATTCAGATATTAACATCAGATCACAAATCTAAGGTAAGAGAATACTGACTTAAGTTCATATTTCCAAACTGCTATTTCAACAAAAACTCAGTTACCCTTTGAAATGTGGACTTCACCCAATTTTGCAATGAAGTTTGCTGATTAAAAAACATGCAGACAAAATATTTATATTGGGGAAATAATGTTTGCAAGTGCATTATATTAGAAAAATTGCCAAAATGTATACATTAGCCATACATTGTATATAAAAATGTGTGTGTTAGGAAAAATACGCACAACATGGATTTTAATGCAAAATTTTAAAAAATTCTCAAAGTTCAGGATGAAACAAAAGACTGGAGAAATTCCCAAAATTTCCCAAACTTAAAACTGGGAAAATGAAAAATGACAGAAACTGAAATTGGTAGATTCCCTTCCTAGTGCTAGTGGAAGTGATTTCTGCTAGCACAGATATATAATTGACTAAAAGACTTTTTTTTGTAAAGCAGATCACCCAAATCCATGATCTGGATGCATTCCTCAAATGTTTTCATGTGTAAACACATGAATAATAAAGCTCTGGAAACGTACTTTCAGCAATGGTAAATGGCATATTAAAGTAAATAGGCAGAAAGAGAACATTCCCTCACTTCTTGCCCTGTTCATGCCAACTGTTTTCCTCCGTGGTTGTTGTCTAGCAGTGTCTGGTCTCTGCTGGAAAAATTACTTTCTGCATTTGTTTCAAGACTGCTGGACAAACAGTCAATAGCCTCCTTTCAAAGGGTAAGCCTCAGAATACTGATCCAGCCTTCCTTCCTCTCCGCAAGGTAAAAGAAATTGTGGCGCAGCACACAAAGGAGTGGTCTGAGATGATCAACACACACAGTGCCGAAGAGCAAGAAATACGTGATGTGCATCTGAGTCAGCAGTGCGAGTTGCTGAAGAAGCTGCTGATCAACGCCCATGAGCAGCAGACTCAGCAGCTAAAGCTGTCTCATGACAGGTGAAATCTCTTAAACCCCCCACCCCCACATCTGAGTATCGGCATTGCCAAAAGCTAATTGGCTATTTTCCTCTCAAATGCTAGATGAATCATGAGATTGTGAAATAAAGTTGCACAATAATTGGTGGTTTTATGTGCCCATTATTATTCCAATAGTAAAACTTACCAGCGCAATCTGATACGTGTTTCCTCATAAGTGAGCCTAACTGAACTCTGTGGGGCTTAATCCCCGGTCAGTGACTACAGGATTGTAGCCTGAATTCAAGTCTTCGATACTTGAGGCTAAAAGTGCATTCGGACAGCTCATCTCTTTAGGACGGCTGCCTCATTGCTTTGTAACGTGAGGGCCTTTTTCTTAAATGGAGGGTGACAGCGGCTGTCCATCTCTCCATGGGGGAAGGGAGTTTTCTTATGATGAGGTGACCACAGTGAGAATGTGCAGATTTTCCTTGCCTGAGTCTTTATGCCATGTTTTCCATGTGTGGGATTCTGCACTTGCCTGTGAAATAGGAACACTTCCTGCTGAGAAGCAAGGTGCCCATTCAGGCCAGCAGAAGCCGATTGTCCCATGCAGACTCGCTGTGGCATAGAGGCTGAGCAAGAGAAATGCTGTGCATTTAACTAACAACAAAGCTGGTCTCTCCCAAGTGCAGCAGTTTGCCTTTTTCCACATGGCCAGAAGCAATATTTTATCACTAAACTAATCCTTGTCAATGCAACCCTATGCATGACTGCTCAGAAGGAAGTCCCACAGAATTCAGACTGCTTGCTTGCAGGTGGTTTTTGCAAGGGAACTGTTCGGACCCCTGCTGAGAGGCATCTGTCCCTCCCCTTGCATGCTGACTTGGCCATGCCACCTTTTGGTTCAGGCTCCACCCATGGCTGGCATATGGGCTGCAGGAAATTACCCTAAAGGAATGCTGCCCTCCTCAAAAAAAAAAAAAAGGTTACCCAGCCCAGTGTATAGGAACTAAACTTAATTGTCATTATTTCTCATCTGTCTGTCTGTCTGTTGTTAGAGAAAGCAAAGAAATGCGTGCCAACCAAGCAAAAATTTCTATGGAGAACAGTAAAGCCATAAGCCAAGACAAGTCTATCAAAAACAAAGCTGAAAGGGAGAGGTAAATAATGCATTCCATTGCTGTTGGTGGGGTAAACTTGGACAGTCAGTCAAAGACTATTTGTGTGTCTTTTCTTCCACTTGCAGTTGCAAACTTCCACTCTCACTTTGACTTTATATTAAGGAATTGCCACCAAGTGGGTCCATGGATGGGCCCTTCTGGGACACATAATTGTGGATTGTGTGCCTGGCGCATAACAAATTGGAGCTTTCACACATGTGAAACTAAACACAAATATTAATGTTATCAGAGTGATAGCAGCAGATATGAATAGAAGGAAGGGAATGATAAAAAGGAGCAGACAACAAATTGGCTAATGGAAGAAGTGAAGAGTTACATTTGAAATAATGTGGTCTGGTTTCTGGGGATTTAAGACAGAGCCACCTTCTGGTCTCTGCTTTCTACCAGAGATGATCATCTGCAGCAGGATGCCTCTCTCTGTTGATTGAGTTTGCCCTGTGAAATGGGCCACTGTGGTGCCCATTTTGCTGACGAATACCCGCAAGAGCTGCTCATGTTTGCATCTCCCTCTGTCCTCCGAGAAGCTGAGAGTGCCATTTGACTCTCAACAACCCCTGGGTCTTACATTCCATTTTATATCCCGCCTGTTCTGTAAGGAGCTGAAGGCAGCACCCATGTCACCTCCAACTGTATCCTCACAACCACCTCGGGAATTAAGAGGAGCTGAGAAGCAGAGGCTGACTGAAAATCCCTCCGCCAGCTCCAGATCCAGTGGTGAACCTGGATCTGCCTTGCTCCCATCCAGCCATCTAGCCACCAGACAGGTTGTGGTCCAGGATGGCCTGTGAAGGAGACACTCCCCAGCTGCACGGCTTTCTGCAACATGCTGCCGAGCATCCTCTGCACCACCCTGCCCTCGGCTGCTGAGTAGGGATTTGTTCAATGGGCCCTGCAGCAAGACTTTGCAGTGGGGGGTGTTCTTCATTTAGGATTCCTTCTGGCTCATTCCATTCTCCCGGACTCCTGGGCTTCCCATTTATTCTGACACCCACCCCGCCCCAAACAGCCAGAAAATAGGCCGCTGAGTATACTTAAGCCTCTTTGGGCTGTTTACTTGGGAGTGCCCCAGCCCACTGCATAGCTCTCTCTTCCCTTTTTCCTTTTCACTTCTGCAGACCCGGGGGCTTCCCAAAGTCTGCTGAGAATTAAGGTCGCCATGGCATATGATAGCTGTGTGATACCAGAGCTATCATCAGATTCAGCCTTTTCTCACTGTCAGTTTATGTCTTTTTCTAAGTAAGCTGATGATATAGTGTTGGAAATGTCTTTTCTAGGCGTGTCAGGGAACTGAACAGCAGCAATACCAAGAAGTTTCTGGAAGAGAGGAAGCGGGTAAGTGGCACATGGCCCCAGATGTCATCAGGATCTATACCAGGCAGACCTCTTGAGCTGTGTGCAGTTTGCCCATTGGGCAAACTCTCCTGGGTGCGACCACAAAATGACACCGTCGGAGGCACAGCAAAGGACTGGAAGCCCAGTGGTGCCTCAGCCCACTAAACACACCAAGCAATTCGTTTGAATCCACCTTTTCAGAGTCCTCTTTCACAGCAGGCCCAGCCACTGATAAGAAAAGGTTCAGTGGGTGAAAGTGGGATGGGTAGCACACATTGGTGGGTGCAAGGAAAAGTGTCCCAGGATACACTGGTACTTGTAGGTCCCAAGTTGCCTACTTGCAATGCTTCTTGAGTCATGGTGCTTCTCAAATAATTCATCTGTGTAAAAGCATAATACAGTTTATGAGGATGTCTGCCATGTGCAAGTTGTTTGTGGCATCCTTCTCCAGCCGATAACTTCCAGATGTGTGAGACTGCAGTTTTCAGAATTCCCAGCTGGTGTGACTATTGAGCATGTCGACTGAGAATTCCAAGGCTTACAGTCCAACACATCTGGAGAGTGCCAGGTTAGGAGTGGCTGCTGTACGGCAGGAAAATTCTTCCAAAAGGAATCATTTGGGGAGAGCCTGCATAGACACTGGGAGGAGCATTTAATCTTGGCCTTGGTCTGTTTTTTGCGTATAGTTGGCAATGAAGCAATCAAAGGAAATGGACCAGCTGAAGAAGGTTCAACTTGAGCATCTAGAAATTCTGGAGAAACAAAATGAACAGGTAATCATGTGATATGCTTACATATGTAAGTGATCAACATTTCTTCAAAGGCTTGGCTAGAATCTGTTGCTCTCCCAGTGTTGCTGGACTCCATCTTCCATCAGCTACAGCCAATATGGCCAGAAGTTGTGGGATTTAGAGTCTTAACAGCATTTGGATGGCCACAAATTCCCCAGCCCTGGGTAAAATGGATTGATGAAAACTGTGCCACAAAATAATGAACCACTGTGTGTGTGTGTGTGTCTGTGTGTTCACTAAACTATTTGTAGTCCTTTGGGCCATTTTAAGGTTGCTGGTGCCATCTTAAAAAGCCACATTCTCCCTTCTCTGTCAAACAGCAGGGGATGCCTCTGCCCAGACGGTGCCTACGCTAAGGCATGAGAACGCCATGCCATACCTTTTTGCAAACCTATATATACTCAGTATCTTCTAAATGTATATAGACTTAGTCAATGGATGAAGGGAGTAATAAGTAATTCAGGACTGATTTAATCGAATGACAGACCTACTGTGTTTGATTCCCTACAGAATCCTTTCTCACAGAACTTTTCTACACAAGGCATTTAGTACATGCTCATCATGTCCGGATTGCCATTGTTGATGGGTTCTTAAGATAATGTTGCAACATTCCAGTTTCACTTCTTTTTAAACAGCACTTCCTGTGAGTTCTTTTAGAGCTGGGAGATGTGATATTATTTAAAGAGAGTGAATGAAATTACGACTTCCAGTGATTTATTTGCATTTTTCTCCTATACCATGGTCCCATGTAGCAGAAAAGCAGGAATGGAAGCTCTTTTCACATAGTGCTCAGATGACACTTCTATGACAAAACCAAATGTAGGCCCAGCAGATCAACCAACTTATGCGGAAAAGCTCGTGCTGCCATTTTCAGTCGCTTCTCTGTTCATTTTAACAGCCTCAGTGTTGACACAAACTGAACTAAATAGATCTGTATCCATGGGTATCTTAGCAGTTGATGGTACTGTTTAGGCTGACATTGGATAATTGTTATTATTCGTATTATTGTTATATATAATGCCAGGAGGGGATTTGGAATGGGAAAGTAGTATTTCATAGATCCAGTGCAGCACAGGAAGCTATGGCTACTGAATAAAACAAGGATCAGAAACCACAGTTTTATCCTGGCTTGTTGAACTGACCATAATAAAAGCAAACACAGTCCCTCAAGCAGAGACATTGAGAGTTACACTTCATTTCAAAGCAAAAACAGATTTTTTAAAAAAATTTGGTTACCAGTTTCTCCCTCTGCAGGATACGTAATCCAGGTTTCACTTTAGATTATTCTCCTAGCAGGAAGCTATATTTCCTGTCATGTCCAAACCAGCCCTTAGTTGTTTTCTGTTCTAAAAGAGATGAGATTCAATTGGTGTGAATTATACATCAATATGAATTGCTTCTTGTAGTTCCATATGTTCTTCTATGATTCTGAAACCACTTAATTAACTAATTAAGGAAGAGACTGCAGGATTGATACAGTTAAGTGCTGAGACCTATGGCCTGATTTGTCTGCTTTAAAATTTATTTTGTCTCATTTAATTTGACTTTGACTAAGCACAGAGGACATTAATGAAGAATTGAAGCCATAAATCAGTGTTGTAGCTATGTATGCTCCTATGAAAGATTAAATGGTTGTTTTTAATGCAGATCTTTAACAGTGCAATCCTATGCACACCTACACAGAAGTAAACCATAGTAGCCTTATGGTAGGTTGTAGAAGCTGCTACTCAGGTTTGGGTGGCGCAAGAAGTGATGACTACCCCCACTGGGGACTGAAGATTCCAGCTGGCTGCTGGCACATGTGAATCAGCCCAGTGGGACTTGCTTCTGAGTACACATGTATCGGATTGCACTGTAAAACTCTTGCAGTACCCTCCAGGGGAAGATGGAAATCCAGAAGTAAAAGCATACATGGCCATTGTTGCAAGCATATATAGCTTTCTTTTCTCTTGCATGTCTTTGTCGCTCTCATCTCGATTTTCATTCATTTTATTTGCCTCTGTTATATTGCTCAACTTTGACGTTATTATTTTTGTGCAAACAGCTTTTGAAATCCTGTCATGCAGTCTCTCAAACTCAAGGTAGGAGTGATCTACACTGAGCAAATTACCACAGTTAGTGTACTTTCCTCCTGGAATAAATTGTTTATTGTTGAAAAACCTTCCGTAGATGTAAATTGTGATGGGCAAGCTCCCCTCAACTTGAGTTGGGATTGGCTCAGATTTTACAAACTTTCTTCCATTTTCAAGAGTCCTAACGTTGTTCAAGATATTTCACGTGTGCTCAGATGTCTCATGGCACACACACATGATGTGATTTCCCTTGCAAGCTATCATTTGGTTTGGTTCCTTTTGTGTGGTTGACATTTCTAGCGAGATGAATTAAACACAGCCAGCCCATCCCTCCAATTCTTTGCAGCATGCAATCATGCTATTAACCTCATACCTGTCTAGAGGTTATAACTTCTCAGCAAGCAATCTGAGTTTCGTCTAGGGAAAAAAATGTAGCATGAATAAAAGCCCCCGAATGTAAAAGTGTGTGCATTGACAAGGCATTTAGCTTGGCATCTGGTCTCACTGCAAGCACAGTGCCCTACATAACCGTCTGTGCTAGGGAAGTACATTTGGGGGCAACGGTGTTCTGTTTCTGCAACAGCTACACGTCACGAGTGAGACAGGCTTGTCTGCTGCACCAGGCAATCCAAACATCGGTAGCATCAGTAGATGCAACCACTGGGAAGTGTCCTTTGCCGAACAAAGGAAAGGCAATATGAGCACTAAGAAGGGTGTGATCCAATCAAGATGTCTATGCCTGAGGATTACAGGTACCCCGTGCAGGATGAGAGAAGCACAAAGGTAAACCAACACCTCCGTGTTCCTCTCACCTTGCAAAGGAGCGAGTGAGCCAATTTTTCATCTAAGTGCAGCACCTCAGGCTGGCAGGGAGGGAGGCTGAGATGCTGCCAGAATTTTTCCAGCACCAATTTCCTCTCTGTGGAAGGAAAGTCATACCTTACTTTGTTCACACTGAGAGATCTCCATAGTCTTCAGTAGCAGAATCATTTCGCTGGAAAGCTGTTTTCGTTCTAGCCCCTGCCAAAAAGAGGAAAGCAAATTCTTTGTGCTATACTGTTTTGCCAATAGTCAGTGGTTCTTTTTGGACAGACGTAATAAGCACGCCAGTGGGTGAAGACAAAAAGCAGTTTATTTAGCAAGAAAACAGGCCTGTTGGAGCCAGAAAGTAACACCATTCCAAATAAAGAAAGCAGGGGGGAAACATGACGGAGGAGATGAGATGCCAGAATCTGACCTGGAACGTGGCAACTGTTAAAGTATATGTAGAGATCAGCATTTCAAAAGAGGCTGTACCAGCTGATCCATGCATTATGTTTCCATATTTTCACTTATTATTTGTTTCCATTAACTTCTGACTTGAGATGTCCAAAACAGGAAGCAGTGTCATGATGTTTAATTTTTGTGTCACTCAAAATATTAAGATGAAAAATTCCATGGTATCAACAAACAGCCATACTAACAGCACCTGCCCCAAACTTTTAGACTTGCATGGTAGAGAATAGATGAATCAGCCCGGGTGTGTTGAGTAGCTATTTCCGTGCATAGCAGTTCTGAGGAGCACATAGAGAGTTCCTGTACAAAGAGGGGTCCCTCACTTAACTCTGGGTGTTGGGAGTATCTCTGTGCATTTATTCAGTCTGCAACAACACTCGCTTCAACCAGGAATCATAGCTCAAAGTGCATCAGATTTATAATCTAACTCCACCCCTCCATTTCAGTCCTGCTAACAGTACCATTGGTCCTGGTTTGCAGGCAAAGGAGATGCAACAGATGGTGAAGCTAGAAGCAGAGATGGACCGCAGGCCAGCAACAGTGGTGTAAAGCTTCAACACGCAAACTGAAGTCTGAAACCCAGTATTTTTTTGTATTTCCAAAGGTAACTCACTGAGGAGTGGAGCCACCAGCCTCCGACGGGATGGTGGTGCGTGTCTCTTCCACTTAGTGTCAAGTGTAGCTACGAATCACTGATAAAAGCTTGGAATATTTTGTAACATTCAGAGTACTGTATTTTATTTTTGTCACAATGGACCATGGTTATAAACAAACATGTGATTTGAAAATCCTGTCCAGTTCAGAAAGCTGCTCTCCTTTTAATGAGATGTGTCTTTATTGGGATTACAGAATGAGACCAGTCTAATTCCAGAACGTGCTCTTTTTGTTCTTAAATAATCTGCACCTTCCTGTAAACAATAAAACTTGCTTGGATTAGTATTTTTGTTACACTTTGCCTGGGCATCCTTGGCTTTTGACAGCCAGGCAGGTGTCCCTGTAACTTCCCGGGAAACACTCTGCATCTCTTTTTTAATTAGACACTGTCCATAAGTATCTTTCTAGGAGAAATCTGTCTTTTAACTTCTTGGTCAGTTTTGTCATGAGGACACGCTGGAAATACCGCAAATTTAAAGCACGTTGAAATTGCACAAGTGAGACCTGCAACAGAATGTCGCAGTGCAGAAGTCTCCCTTCTCGGGATTCCTGCCATGCCATTGTTCCCCCAACAGTCAGACTTCCATGACCGCAGGGTATGTGAGTTGTGAGGGTTTTTTCCTAAGGACTTCTGCAAGCCCGCTGATGCTTCCCCCTTGTGCCTCGTCGATGCCATTCTGGCTACCTGAGGACTGGCACTTGGAGAATCAAGACCATGGTTAATATGTATGATATCAAAAAGTAATCTCTAGAAAATCAGTACTCTGATTAAGCAGGCAGTACGAAACCTATGTCTGTATTTCTGCATTCAGACCTATGTCACTGGCAAGTGTCATTTTCCAGTTGGCCTTGACTTGACTGAAACTGGCATTTTGTAAGATGCTGCTGGAAGGATCGTCAAGTGGCAGGAGGCGGTCTTGGTGCCAAAGCTGCTCATGGTAAACTGTCAAGGAATTGTATTATAGGCACTTTAACCGATGTTTACATACTACTTACCGGTAGCATTTTGATCCAGTTGTTACCAGTCCCATACACTGCAGTTCGCTGTATCTTCTAATTTGTTAGATAGCTGTTGGGAGAGAAGGGGAGAGTTGGTAGCTGTGACACTGTAAAGTATTTATACACATGCAATCACAATCTTGTAGATGATCACATTCCTATGGCAACATCAGCAACAAGAATAAAGCAACATTCTGTTTGCATGTGGTACAAACACCAAGTCCAACTTCAGTGAATATTGTATGACTGCACAGTCATTTTCCTGGTAAATAAATACAGAGTCTGTGTATGATACAGAATATTTGATTATATGTATACTTATATATATATGTGTATATGAATTATGTGGGCATTCTTACTATTTCAAGTTCTAGTTGAAAAGGAAATATGTTAATTTAATTTTACACAATATATTTATGCAGATTTTCAGACTTTCATATCAGGAACAACCCTTTTTATGTCTGTTAGATATCCAAACAATTTGCTACAGTATTAATGTGCATGTTCTTAAAACCTGCTGTAGTTACAACGCAGAACAGTGCATGCCAGCCACCTTCTCGGAGTTGTCTGTGCTCCCGCCACCGAAGAGACTGTGGGGAACTGGTAGTTTAGAACAAATCAGACAGCTGATTCCAACAATGCTCAGTACCAATCATGTTGTTGTATATGCTTGTACAAACTGATTCTACATATTCCTATAAATGACATCAAATAAAGAAATAATTATGTAACTGTCCTGAGAGATAACTTTCAAATTCTCTAATGAAAAACCCCTCCTGTATGAATGGAGTACCTGGCCACGAGGATCAACCCAGGCTACCTGCAGTAAAATTCAAGGTGTGCCATAGAACAGATTCTTCCATCTGCCCAAAGAGAAAAAGTCACCTGTGTCACCTGTTCAATCTTACCTGAAAAATATAATTCAGAATGAACCCTGCATTTATATTTGCCAGTCTCCCTCCCTCCCTGGCTTTAATTCTTCACCTGCAGGTATTTTCTAGGGGGCACATATTCGTATTTCTTGGTCGCTGCTCTCGCCTCCTCTCTTATGGATCAAGGCCTTCAGTCCCGCTCTCTGAAGCAGCACATGTGCCTGACAGAGTTCTGGGCAAGTTCAGCTTGCAGGTATCCCCAAGCAACTGGACCCCGCCGCCCCCACTTCCATTGTGACATCACTGTACTTGCTATGTTACATGTTATTTGCCTACTTGCATACTGGAGCAGCACTTTTCAGATTAAAGGGCTGAAGGCCTTACACCTTCAACACTGCCATAATTTGGGTATGATCAACAAGTAGGTTTTTCCTTTCACTGATGCTGCCCTGGAAGACTTGTTATGTGTTCCCCTTTCTTTCCTTGCATTCATAGTCCTGGAGGTTTACTTAGCCCCTGTTTTGAAGTCCCAGCAGTCTTCACAAAAGTGCATTTCCCACTAACATTGATTTTATTCATAAATTTCAGCCCAATAGGAAAGCTGCATTTCAGCCCAAATACAGCTTCCAAGGTGACTTACAGTTAAAACTGAATTTGAAAATCTTAAAAGCAGGAGAAAATCTTTAAAATGAAGCTGCAGCTGGACATCCACCTGAGAGGGAAGGATTAACTTGGAGGCCTGCATTGCGCAGGAGCTTTCCTGACTGTCTACCTTGCTGCTTCCAGCTCCATTACTTTATGGTACTATGTAGTGTGGAGCCAATATATTTAGAATACTAATGAACCCTGCAGGACAAGACTTGTTCAATAGCCCTCCTGGAATGGGACAAAATTGGGGTCAGCCTAACTTCCTTTGGGGAGTAAATTCCTTAGAATATACTTCCCAAAGGGATGTTAGCACAGAGAGGACTGTGTTTCTGTCCCATAGAAACTTAGAGGGTCAGAAGGGGTCCAGTCTTTCCGTGAATGCCCTCACTGATGCCCCCTCACCTCCTGTGGAAGCCCATTCATACCCTAGAGGTCTAACCATCAGGAAGTACTTCCTGAAATCCAACCTGAAACCTGGTTCCTTGAGCTTGGTCCCACTGGATCACATCCTTTCCTCCACCATAGGGGAGAACAGGTCATGATCCTCTACCGTGTGACACCCCTTCACATGCCTGCATGTCACTATAAGATCCCCTCTGAGTCTCCTCATATGTCATCCCCCTCCCTGATCCAGGTACCTTCCTTGTGACCCTGCACTGAACTGATTCTAGCCTAGCTACGTTTCTTATGTTCCCAAAGAAGACACAGGCTTCTCTTTGGTTATCCAAAGAAGATCTAGGCCAGTTCACAACAGAGGAAGTGGATCGCTTGGCCTCAAGCCATTTATGGCCATATAGGTAAGAAGTAGCAACCTGATTCATGACTGGGAGATTGGCATTAACACAAGGCGAGTATCATATAGCCAGCAAGCAAACAGGCCACTGCATTTTGCACTGGTGGGAGATTGCAAGCATTCTTCAAGAGCAGCCCCACATCATAATCCAGTCCAGAGGTGATTAAGACACAGATCACTGTGGCCAGATTTACCTTTTGCTGGAAAGGGCATGCCAGTAGAAGCTGGGCAGAGACACTTCTGGCCAGAGCAATGACCTGCACCTCCAGAAGCAAGGCCAGGTCCAGAGAAGCCACCAAGCCACACTCTGATTCTTTGGGGAAAGAGTCATTCCCATCCAGAAGGGGCCATGCATCCAGTGCTATATTTGCTTTCCCACTGACTGACAGCTTTTCTGTCTTGTCTGAATTAAACCTTGATCTTTTGTTGCACATCCAACCTCTCACAGTGCCCAAGTAAAAGTTCAGGATTCCCTTGGCCTCTGGTGGCAGCGACACTAAGCTGAGCCCATCAACATAGCTACTGCAGAGCAGCATTCAACTGAGCTCCTGTTGATTTGTGTAGGATATAAATTCATAAACTGGACAGGATTAAATCATTGCAAGTGTTTGACCTCCATAGCTCCAAATCCCAGCTTCATGTGTATATTGATGGAATCTGAGCATCTGATACGGATCAGGACAAGGCTTGTGATGTGTAGCTCAATGAAATGTTGGCCCAGGGTATGTCTTCCATGAAAAAAGCAATTCTGCATTGGGGATGATTAGTAAAGGAGCTGAAAAAAGACTTCTAAGAAATTGCATTTACACAACTGCACTTGCCATTGTTCTTGAAATAATACAGTGTATGGTTCAGTCACTGCACCACAAAGCAGATATTGTAGAGCTCAGGAAAGTGCTGGAAAGGACAGCTAAAATGGTCAAATGGCTGGGACAAGTCCTCGAGGAGGGAAAGGCACAGCATTTGGGTCTCTTTGGCTTAGAAAGAAGGGCAGTGAACTGGAGAGAGATGTATGAAATTATGCATGATAAGAGCCAGTGTGCTGTAGTGGTTGAGAGCACAGGACTGGGACTCAGACGATCTGAATTCTAGTGCCTGCTCAACAATGGAGCCACCTGGGTGAATTTTGGCCAGTCACAGACTCTCAGCCCAACCTTCCTGAAAGGGTTGTTGCGAGGATAAGATTGAGAACTGGAGGAGGAGAATGATATAAGCTGCTTTGGGTTCTTTTTTTTTTTTTTTTAAGTGGGATTTAAATCTAATAAATAAATATGAAGTGGACAGGCATGTGGTTTTGTCTCTCACCCCATGAGGCAGATTGGTGGAAGACTCAGGACAGACAAAAGGATGTACTTCATCACACTGTGCATAATTAAACCATGGAATTCACTACCACAAGATACAAGGGTTGCCACCAGGCTGGGTGGATTTCACAGGGACTTAGATGTCATTCCTGAATGGTAAGACGATCCAGCAGCTTCCTGTCCTGGCAACTGCTCTCAGAGACAGAACCTCACCACGCTGGCGGCTTGGCATCCACCAAGGGAACCAAATGCTGAATTTGATAGGCCTGACCCAATGCAGCAATTTTCATGTTCTTGTGATTTCCTTTTTTAATTTTTTAATTTAAATTTATTTACAAAAACTACACAACAAAATGATACAAATAACATAAATTACATAATACACAGACTAAAATTATGCATAACAACATAAGCTAAAATATACATAACATCATAAACTAAAACTATACATAACAACATAGTGCTCCCATCACCATTGGGAGTAAAACTTACAAAATATCACCAATATACCCCATGTCTCTCCAAAAATGCAGTGGATCTTTTGCTTGATATTTCCCTTTGTGCTTCTCTAATACATAAAGTAAAAAAACATTCCGTGTACTTGTAAAATCATTTATTTTCCTTTCCCCTCTCCTAATTTTCAGATCACATGTTAATTTATCATTAATGGCTAAGCTCCACATTTTATTGTACCAGTCAACAATGTTGATTAAATCTATACCTTTTCCATTTTAGCCATTAGTAATCTGGCAGTGGTAACCATAATAATAATGATTTCTTCTTGCGGTCTGTCTAGTTGCGAATCCAAAAAAGTATACAAAAGCACATTAATTGGGCACATCAAAATCTTTCTATCCATAATATCACTAATTTCCTTAAATATCGTTGCCCATTCTTTCTGTTTAATTTTGCACAACCACCACATAGGATAATAAGTCCCTTGTTCTTTTTTGCACCTCCAACAAAGAGGGCGTTGTTTCAGTATGAATTCTGTTTAACCTTACCGGCGTATTATGCCACTTCCAAAGTACTAAAACAATTTTCCTTTACTCTGATCGACATATTCTTTGTAATTCTATTATTCCATAGTTTCAACCAGTTTACTTGACTGATAGCTTTACTCATATCAACTTGCCAACTTTCCAGAAGTCTACATCACCCATACTGCCCTTCTATTAGCATTTTATATATTGAACTTGTAATTCCTTTCCTATTACTACTACTTTCCTTCTCTGTACTCTCTACCAGTTCTTCAAATTTAGTTAATTTTCTTATTTCAACCAAGTGTTTTCCTCATTTCTACTGCACACTTTTGTAACTGAATTGTCTTCCAATCCAAACCCTTCAATTCTGCACATATCTGATCTATTTTCTCTTTATTATCCAAAATTTTTAACCAGTCTTTCAGTCTAAATATGTTCTGTTCTCTTAATATTTTCCATAACTCACCTTTCAAATTCTTGGGAAAATTCTTCATTGCAATTACTGAAGTTAATGGAGAAATTATGGGGCTTAAAATCTTCCTACTGTATCTCCACAATTTCAACATATTTTTAGAAATGGATTTTCTGTTTTCTTTGAATCTAGAATATTATCCTCCCTAAATAAAATATTTTCCATATGAATATTGATTTATACAATATTTAAACTTAACTCCAAATCCCATATTAACTATCACAATTTTTAATGTATCCCATTCCACCAAATCAAACACCTTAAAAATGTCTAATGCTAAAATCCCAGCTTTTAAACTATTTTTCTTTGCTAGATGCATAGTATTCAGAAGACATCTGCCATCTGTCTATTTTTCAGGAGGCCATTTTGATCTTTATTAATACATTTTCCAATAAAGGTGTACAATCTATTAGGTTTGTGGGGTGGGGGGAATGCATCTTGATTTAGCAGGGAGGTTGGTTTATAAGAGCCCATATTTACTGCATCTTTTCCAGGCTTCAATATTAAACAGTCAGAGGTTCCTTCATGATGGGGGATCTCCCCACCTTCTAAAATTTTATTCATCAAAATTTTCAATTTGGATATCATTATTTTGTGAAAAACTTATAAAATTCAGGGCCTAGCCCATCTACCCCTGGGGTTTTACCAATTTTAAATGT